TTCCTATTAAATCTTTGAGTCTACTATTCAATGTTAAAAAAAAAATTGATTTTTTCTATATATTTTGTATATATTTAAAAACTCTTATATTAAATAGCTTAGGAGATAAACTAGAAGAGCCAAAAACCATCTCTGATTGGTTGCATATCTCATTATTTTCATCAAAAGTAAAGCAATAACTCAACTTTTGATTAATTGGAGATCAAAATTTGCATATTACTACAGATTGCTAAGAATAGCATTGCAAGATCATTAAGTTTTCATGTCCAATGGCATAGATTTTTATTATATATATATATATATATATATATATAAAAACAAACAAGAAGTATTTAACAAAAAACAAGAAAAAGAGTCTGATAAAGAAGAAAATACCATAATTCTATCTTGATGTGTGTTAGAACAACTCTAAATTCATGTATGTTCCATCTATTGCTTGAACCTAAGCCTATGAACAAAAATAGCATGTTTGTTTATGTGAATTGTATTGGGATCATGAATCACAATGTGTGGGCTTTGCTCATGGCTCTATTAGTAAAGTGCTACTAGATGGAATTACCCACAAACAACCTTATTTCTAAAATACTTACTTGAAGTGGAGTCCTTTTCTTTGCATGTTAATATTATAAGTTCACCAAATAAGATATGAATTTATAATCAAACCATTGCCTAAACAATCAATAATATAAGGTCATTTAAAATATATCTATATCTATATATAGATTATAGTAAAAACCTATGCCATTGGCTACAAAAAAATATTATAAACTATGTGTTATAAATTAATCTTTTATTTGAAGCTTCATGTAACGTGAAACTCCATGTTTCATGTAGCTCCACATTAAGATGCTTCTGAACTCCATGCTTAGTGATCTGGTAGTGCTATTCTTGACAATCTACAGTAAGAGCATGCAGATTTTGATCATTGATTGATCAAAAGTTGAATTATTGTTTCACCTTTGTTTTACTTTTGATGAAAATAATGAAATATATAACCAATCAAAGTTGGTTTTTGTCTCCTCCGGTTTATTTGCTTGAAATGTTTTATAAAAGAGATATATATATATATATATATATATATATATGATTATCTATGGAGATTGTGCTATTTTATCACCTAATTTTGAAGTTCTTTTATGGTGGTTCTTCAAACATCTTTGTAAAGAGCAAGCAAACAAACCTTCCAGTCAATCAGGTTACCCTTTGTTACCTACAAACAGAAATGAATCCTAGTCTGAATTATGCAGGAAATGATGCAAACCTGCCCTCACAATACCATCATGAACTTGATATAGAGAGAGAGTTTATTTGTTTGATACACAATTTTTACAAATTTCAATAAAATAATAATCAAGTTGTAAATCATGCAGTGATGGCACGTGACAATGCTATGTCATATTTCAAAAATTTCAAACCAAACAATTCCTTTGAAAGGAAGAATTGAGGAGATTGAGTTCCAAGAAGATAATAGGCTATCTCGGGTCCCACCAAGGGGAGAGACTAAGGAGAATTTACATGTGGGGGAACAAATGCAAAAGTACTTTCACATCAAGGAAGGATTTGAAAATAACTACATAGAGGAGAATACTCACATTATCCATTGGCAGAGGATATTAATGAAGGGCCGTCGAAAATCAGGCAAATTGTGAAAAATATTGTGCCGGTTGATTGCCATTCTATACCTCTCCACGTTCAAATTATTTTTTTATCTTAAGGAATACAAAAACTTCTCTGCAACATGATCTGCGCAAGCACAATGCACAGGAGGGAGTGTTACAATTATGACAAGCTGTAATGCCGTGCAATCAATTTCTCCCAATTCTGTGGTAGCCGAATCAGCCGACAAGTACCTTTACTATGCTCTTTTTAGAGATCATTTCATATTTACTCCCAAGATAAGTGCCATCAAGATAGGCAATCCAACTGGCTGCTCTCACATTTTCGCACGAAGTCATGGAGGAAAGCTAAAATTTTAATGAAGAAGTGCTAATTTGTCACAGCTCACATTAGCTACGCCGGCTTGGTTGTTCTCTTGGGAAGCGTAACCCAAACCAATCACCCAAGTCAAAGGCAATTGACGTTGTCGCTGACCTTGACAACACTAGCCACAAGCATCATAGGTATCGATTTGATGATAGAATCCTCCTTAGTCTCAGCACGACATCAGTGTAAAATTCAGATTTGCTAACTTGCCTTTTCGTCTTAATTGAATGGAAGGAAGAAATCGCTAAAATTCTAGCAAGATCAAGATTGATGTCTAGATCAGATGGACGTTCATGTTGTTGATTTGTCGATGGTAGAAGAAGCACGTGCAGCACTCAACGCGTATGCTCAGAAGGTATCTGCACCATAACATTTCAAAAATAATAAGCCTTCCAACATCGTGGCAATCTGCGGATCGACAAAGAAAGATGCTGGACGGTGTGCATTCTATGTCTCCTTCAATCATCGAAAGGACGGGCTACTCAACGTCATCAAATTCACACCTCACAATGAAAACTGCGTGACATTCCTTGATTCGTTTCTGCTTCGTGGACTTGCTCTAGCTGCCATTGCCGGCCCCCTTGTCCATGACATCTATGGTCTACGTCCACGAGACATCGTCAACCACACTAGGATGTAAGTTGGTGCTAAAACATTGTATATGGCTGCCTGGCGTAGCCAAAAGGCCCACATGAAACTTTCCATTGGAGAGCATAATATGAGATTTCAGATGATCTGTGGCTTGCTTGACAAGCTCCAAGTTGTCCACCCTGAAACTTCTTCTATATTTGAGACGGACAACCACGGGCGATTCAAACGTGCCTTTGTTTGGGGGCATGGAAGGCCACCGTGATACACTACCACCCAGTCATTACATTGGACGAGGCCCATTCCAAGGCGACATACAAAGGCGTGTACTTAGGTCTGAGTTGTGTTGATGGTGAAGGTCACCTAGTTCCAATTGCCTTCGGTAGTGCACCGATTGAGAACACCGAGAACTGGACGTGGTTTTGTGCAAAGGTGGTGGAAGCAATACCCTTCCTCAATTCATCTATACAAATAATGGTCAGTAACCGTAAAAAAGGCATTGAAAGTGGTGCTGCAACCATGCTTTCCATGGCTGCACATGTAGCATGTGTCTGGTACATTGAGAACAACATAAACACCTATTACAAGTCGAAGCTGAATGGCAATATCTGGGCAGCCGCCTGGGCATTTACTAAGGATGCTTATCTACTTGCCATGGTGCAGATCATGGAGATCATACTGAGGCCTACGCTTACCTCAGTGGAATCCCAGCAGAAATGTGGACGCTGAGCCATGCCAGGACTCCACGCTTTGGGGTGCTCACATCAAACATGTCGGAGGCAACAAATGCGTGGATTCTTGGCGTTCACAACACAAAGCCATTCGATGCTCTTGTACAGCTTGTTTGCAAAACGGGTGGCCTCTTCTTCACCCGACAAGAGGAGTACGCTGAGTTTACAGACCATCTGCGACAATCAACAATACTTGAGCTTCAGACAAAGGTTAGGGAGGGTCAGACACGGTTGGTGGTCTAGATGGACACGTATGTTTTTAAGGTCTATGGTAGTAACAGTAGTAGTAGTGGTGGTACGTTCCAGGTTGTCAAACTTGCTGGCCGCACCTGCTCTTGTGGAGAGTTCCAGAAACATCAGTTGCCATGCATCCACGCATGCGCCGGAGCAATGAAATCCCGAGAGCAAGTTGAACAATTTCTACACCAAACTTATCTGTTAAGCAAGCTCCGTCGCGTGTATGCTGGCATTGTTGTGCCAATTGACGTGGAAACTTTGGATGAAGACATGACATGGACGTCTCTTGAAATCAAGCAAGTAGGCCGTCCTTGCAAGGATCGTCTTTAGAGCCGTAGAGAAGCTGATCTATCCAGATGTTCCTAGAAGAAAAGATTGATATCACATTACCATCGCATCGGTTTTCCGCATTCCTCGTTGAGTTCATGATATTTGCAGGTCCGGTGGCCTTAATGTTGTGGATGAAGAGGCCGTGCACAATGATATTGCTCACAATATGTATTGTGAGTCCACCACCCTCGGCAATGTGGACTTGCACGCCGCGCTCGTCAATGGTCTTAAAACTCGTGATCATGAGAACATTCTTGAGCTTGATGATCAACCAGACGCAAAAATAATCCACAGGGGTTGTTTACGCGTGACAGCATAGCGCAATTGGGAGAAATTGATCGCGCAGCATAACAGCTTGTCGCGATTGTTACACTCCCTCCTATGCGTTGTGCTTGGACAGATTGTGTTGTTCAATCGTGTCTAGTTTAGCATCTGAAATGTTAGATTTTCTTGGTGTCGTCATAGCATCCTAAGGGATCTACTTCCCACACATCACATGCTTATCACCCACCGGGGGAGAAGTTTTTGCATTGTTTAACACGGCGAAGAAGTTTTTGCATTTGTTAAGATAAAAAATTAAAAAAATAAATAAAAAAATAAATAAAATAGAAAGTGGAGAGGTGTAGAGAAGAGCGGCAGCATAGCGCAGCAGACAACCGACACAACAATTTCAACAGTTTGCCTAATCTTTGACGGCCCTTCATTAATGCCCTCTGCCAATAGATAACATGTGTTCCCCTGTATGTAATTATTTTCAAATCCTTCCCTGATTTGAAGGTACTAATGTCGTAAATCTCTTAGCACCAAGGTTGACAGGAATCCTCGTTTCTAGTCCTGCGAAGTGCAGAAGCGGGTTTTCCATCACGAATCCGCAGATCGTTTGCCGTGCAGAGCCACGTGACGAAAGCTTTGCAGTGGTGCTGCAAGGGCGACGCTCTCAAATCTGGCTTCTGGTATGCATTCCAGATGGGTCCGAGGTTTCAGTTCACATCCTTATCTCGAAAGTGGTACCGTTGAAATTCAACTCACTTCGATGTTGGGTAAATTAGTAAACTGAGAAAGTACTTTGGCATGTACAGTAGAATTGGATGTTCCTTTCAACAATTTTCTCAAACATGAAGGGTTGCGAGATGCGAAGAATGAGAAATAGTTAGCACTTCTTTCATAATTTACAAGAGAGGCACAACTCTTTGCCTTTTTATGCACAATCAAGGCTTTCAACAAAAAATGTGTTGAAAAGATAACCGCAGATTTGCAACCATGAGATGCCACAGAGGGCGCAAATTCATAAGGGACGCGGGCATAGGAATGCATAACACAGCTGCAATTTATTTTGATCCATTGCGACGACCGCCTCTAAAAACAGAGGATCTCAAACGCTGCCTGAATGCGTCAAGTCTGCTGCTGTTTGTCGATGCGATAACCACGGATCGTGAAGCTTCATTCCTGTTTTTCTCCTCCGCCTCCTTTAAGTCTACATCATGCAGAGAAGCTGCAATAGCCTCCATAACCATCTGTAACAAAACCGAACAAAACAAAATCCCCCATCGACATTGACATATGCAGTCAGAAAATGATGTCTATCATGTCAAAAAGGACGAATCATTAACATGAACTGAACTTCAACCTGTTTCTATTTCAGACAAAAAGGACGGTTAGGCGAGACCAAACGAAACGAAACAGCTGACTAAGACACTTCTTCAACGCCTACGGCAGATGGAGCTTACCCGCTCTTCATCGTCAAAATTTGCAGGTGCATTGGCAAATGACTGATCATAACTGGGTGAAGCATGTCCAGCACCTCCAAGAAGAGGACCCCAGACTTTCTCTCCACTAGGTGAGACATGTCCATCATCACTGTAAAGATTAGGGGTCCAGCATTTGTCATCATCATTCGACGAGGCTACCTTAGCAGGGTGGGTGTGAACCCCATTCTCAGAAGCCTGAAATGAAAACCACACCAAGGGTAACAGTTAACTAGAGCATACAACCAACAAGAACAACTTGACAAACCACTGCTGTGCTGGAATACTGGTGATGGCAGAAAGCCCTCCACTGGACAAGTTCTTGTACCTCAGTACAAGAGGATGTGCCTTCGAACCCATCGCTGTCAAAATCTTTAAGGTCGGAAAGATCTGCTTCCTTACCAGTGAGGTCCACAGGTACCTGCACGAGCGCCCAAATTAATTAGAATCTCAAAGCACCTGAAATAGAAGTCACTCGGCCACCTGCCAAGATGTGTTCCATCAGGAAACAATCTTTCATAAAATTTAAGAATTACAGCAACCTAGTAGCTAAAAAACAGAAAGGACACGCAAGAAAACACAGCAATAGTCCCAATAAATCAATAAGTAGGAAAATAAATGAATTATGCAACAGCAACTGCGGACAAATCATTACTTAGAAGAGAAACGAAAAACTAGAAGATCCTTACAACTGTTCTACTCATCTGCCATCGTGAACGTGTTTGTGACAGTGCTTCCTCTGTTGATTCGGAACCCGGACCTGTCCAACATTAGAATTCAGAGGTTTTTCACTGCACATGAATCTCATTTAGTATATTAATGACTTATATTTGGTGATTTGAACTTACTACCAAATATCTGACATATGCACATATGAAAGCTAAATTATGTGTTAAAGCAAAGTTACGACATTGACTGCGGATTTCTTCGGAAAGATATACCAGCTCGCAAACATACGGAAGAAAATGGGTTGCAGAAAGTACCATCGGAGCTAGTACCACCAGCAGGTGACGACCCAGTATTGGTAGAGGAAGGCGGTCGAACTGCCCCCAACATCTCATAGAGGGTATCCTGTAACAAACGAAGTGTCTCAGATGAAGTTCTTCTGGAATATCTCAAGTACCTCAAAAAGAACCCATTTGAAACCAACAAAAGGCATTGCCAATTGTGCGTTCCGTTTCACTATTATTATTTTTGGAAAAAAGACATACTGCAGGAGGAAGGGAAAGGACACACACCTCGTCTACATCATCAAGATCCAATGCATCGTCATAGAAATGTGGCTCGGGTAGTACTTCCGGCACGACGATTGGTGCGTCAGGAGGTCGCAAAACATTATAAAAGAAGATCGTGATGGAATCATAGTAAAACTGAGGTCTTGGGGAATTATGATCACCATCAAACTTGATTATATTCTTATCACCCTGCATCACGTTCATCACATTGCATTCAAATGGCCATACTTAACGAGCTTAAACACACCTGTAAGTGATCTCATACCCTACTCATCGTGAGCCTTTCTAAAATCGAAACTTTGGAAGCAGGTTGAATGAAGCATGTGGAAAGACAGTGGAAGTGTTCATTCAATGAATGAGAACGTAAATAGTCAAAGACGTAAGCGAACTTTGATTTTCAAAACAAGTTTGTACCTATCAACAAGATGGAAAGGGGCATAAGCTAGAAGGCATGGAGAGGTGAAACTTACTGAATAAGCTTTAAATATTATTTCAGAATGGCGAGGATGTATGAAGGCATCGTCTGTTGCGTGCCCAAAAAGAGCCGGAATAAAAGATTTTTTGGCCACCTAGAAAGGACGAAAACATAACGTGACTTTAATGACATGTACAAGTTACTTGTGTGTGCAGTGGTCAAATCCAAGAACCGAAAACAAAACAGGCACACAACTTAACTAAAACCAATCAAAAAAGTTAATTGTTGATACTGTTAAAACTTTGGTAGTTTGCTATAAGTTCTGCCTGGCTTGGAACAAATCGAGAAACCAAATATCTCAGCAAAAGCCACATGTCAAAGGTGTCGTTTGAGAAAAAGATAGTGTTCACTACTACAAGTAGCATATGCACTTCGATTGCTCTCGATGATGCTGCACTCTTCGCCCCAAAAAAATCCTATTACTTCAGAAAATATATCAAGGTGTAAAGGACATGCTTCAACTTCAAAATAAGACGTCTGAGCAAACCTGTACTGTGTCAAGGTCCATAATATCAAAACGAGCCTTCTTTTGTATAGCCTTCCGCATGTATTGCACAGCCACCTTTACCTGTACGCATCAAGAACAACAACACCCCGTGCTTGTCACGTTTTAGAACATTTGAAACAATATATATATATATATATATATATATATATATATATATATGATAACCAATCTCGAGTAGTCCTCTACGTCTGCTGCAGGAAGGATTGGATGCAACGAAATCTAAACTTGAGTTTTGTATTCAGACAACATCACCGTGAACTTTGGAAGGCGAATCTTGTATACATCAACCAGTTCCATCATGAGGTTGTTGAGATTCGCAAAAGGACTGTCCAGGACCATGCCAGCTATGGAGGGATCTTGAGCTCCATACATGAGGCTGCGTAGATCAACAAAATTATTGCAGTGCGCCTAAATAGCTCCCACAAGGAAGTTTTGAACTAGACATGCAGAGCTACAAAACTACAAATAAGCAATAAACACCAGTCATGAATCATGAGTGCAGTGAATATAATACCAGGTGACAGCCCCCATAGAACGACCCCATAAACCAATGCGGGATACTTTTTCGTCGGTTCGCAAATGGTTTACAACGGCTTTTAAATCATCTGTCTGTAAGCATAACAATTCAGCGCAATTTAGACTTGTCCACATGGATGTTTCATGTTTGAAACTTCGATGAGACAACCTTGGGCATTGTAACACTAGTACTCTACGACTAAAATGTTAACATCAAACTGAACTTGAGCTAACACTTTCGCATAAAAGCTCCGAGAATTGTTACAAAACGAAAATAGCATGACTGCTTAGAAGGAGAAAATAGATAATAAACAGTAACAAATGTTAAATTGTTACCTCATTCCAGCCCAAGCTAACATAATTTCCATCAGACAACCCCGAGCCTGAGAAGTCTAACGTGAAAACAGTAATATTACATGGTAGGAGTATAATGGCTGCTTCATTCGCATCAGCTCGGCACCCACTGCATATTCACATGTTCAAATATATCACAAAATGTTTAAGCTAGGAAACAAGGAATTAGACAACCTTCTATCCTAACCATTTCTGGTACTTCGATCAACCAACTACTGAGAAGCACCTGAATTTCAACGAGTAGACCAACAAATGCAACACAATTACCCCTCACCAAAAGAAGGCCGAACCTGCACGAATTATAAAGAAAATTGAAAACTTAGAATCTATTCAATCTAGTATAAACTATTCAGGCATGAAATAACTTTCTAAAGTCTGAGCAAGCTGTTATGTCCAACCTGTTTCCATGACAGTAGATGACGCAAGGAAGTGGTTCATCATCAGGCGGAGATTGGGGCGTGTAATGACTACATTGCAATACATGTCCTCTATTATTTAAGACCTGCAATATATCACATTGTAATATTAGATTAATGCTTAGATAACTGAGACAAAGTCTTTTTAGAAAGGCTGCGCTCATTAAATAGTTGAATAAAGTAGCTGAAGCTGCCAATTCAGTCTTTCACACGCACTCAACTCAATCATACATGAAACAAGAAGAAATGTAAAGATATCCTGAGAATCTTGATCGAAATTTCGGTTTAATGTCATGCAATACAAGCAATAGTTGTTAAAAGTTTAATTTACAACGCACGAACACATAGAGAACGCCTTCATACAAGATCTTGTCTTAAATCAGGAAGTAAGATAACACCTGCCTGAAGGTCTTTTCGTGAGTATTTACGACCTTTCAGCAGAAACTCCTGCTCAAGCAAGTCAAGCGAAGGGCTGTAACTCGCTCTGCACCATCAATGAGCACCATTCAATCATTAAGAAATAGTTCCAGGACGCCGTATAATACATGGGAGCAGTTCATGATCGGCACAGTGCAATTTAACACCTATACGGAAATTATAAAATAAGAAGACTTCCATGTTTGCAACTTCACTTCGTTAAGAATTCACCACAGCACTAAAAGTAAGAAAGATATTACAAACAAGCCTAGGTAATCCAAGAAACTAACCAAGGACTAAAAGTCATGTCAAATGTCAAGAACAAACAAGCGTGATCAATGCCACACATTCAATATGGTTTAGTCATTTTCTTAGAAAACTACGACAAAAAAAAATATCGCCAACCAAATAATAATGAGCATAATGATCAACTGTCATAAACGGCAGACAATAGACAGACTTGAATGAACAATGTTACCTTGGAGGCCGTATCACGAAGTTCACTAGTTGCTCCATCATTCTCTTCAGGAAAATCATGCAGAGTACTTAAACGGCACCCCTTGTGATCCTAATACGCGTTATCAAAACTCACCCACAGGCCAGTTTTGATTGCACGAGAAACCTTAATTCTCTCTTTCTAACCCTCTGAAGCTCTTTTTTGCTCATGATCTCCAAATCAAGCCATTCCTAATCAGACTTAACGATGACTTTCAAAGCGCAGCCAGTCGATCTTTCTGAGATCTGGCATCCAAAAAAGCTCTAAGCTTGTCTGCAACCACAAAGCTAATCGATCACCTCTCCAACCTCTCTTCCACCAATGTCTCTAGCTTTGCTGACTCTTCGAACAGTAGCAGTTTTTCCACAATCCCCGAATTCAGGGGGCTGCACGAATCAATGTTCCAGACCAGGCATACTATCTGCAGGGAGAGACCATAATTCCAATCTCGCCTGTCTTCCCACCTCGACGAATCTCAGTCTCATTTTTAACAAATGTGCTGAACCTCTTCAAGCCAATCAAAATCCGTCGATAAATTACGTTGACTACGCAAGCCCCTGCGTCTTAAGTTTCTCGTTCGCCACTTACTAAAGGTACACGGGGCCCTTCTCTAAGTCCCGGGCTTACAAGAAACCGCAGTGTGATGCTCGGTTAGCAGTGATTGGCCCCTCATCCTGCCTTCTTCTAAACCTGCGTCCACGTGACTTTGTAAACAGAGGCACCGCCGGGAGTGTGCATTAATTCGTAAACTGTGCACTTTCAACGGTCTGGCATTTGCTTCCTCCACCTGATTTGAAATACATGAGCAAGGATATATTGCATCAGCAACCGTGACGTAAACCTGATTTACATGAAGGTTACCAAAGAGAAAACTTTTCAACAGTCCAGCACAGAGAATAATCGAGTTCACAGTCGCGCTCTCAAGGGCAATCGAGGTTCCACTAACATAAAGTTACACTGTCGAAATATTACAAATCGTTCATTAAAGGTGAACCCGGAGTGGAGAGGCAAAGTAAAAGAACGCTAAAATCAGAGCATGCTGCATTATTTCGTATCTAAGAATACTCCACAACGGCAAGTCCGTAACCATTACACACGCTCGAGCTTTCTCGAAAGAACATTAACACAAAGGCAGAATAAGACAATGGCAGTGCAGAGCCTAGAAGAAAAATACAAGAAGCTCGCAACGACCAACAATGAACCAAATAAATAAAAACAATTATGTATATTTATTTAAATATTTATATATTTACTCGAAAGAAAAACTAACAAGAAAAATAATAAATAATAAATAAAAATCGAACATCCCGACTTGAACGCAACTAACAGAAAACTATCGCACGGAAGGAAAACCTGTGAACCCTAGGGCAAGGGACACCCGCAACCTTCACAGTCACAAGACCTGATATTCGAGGAGAGAAATCTGAATAATTTACAAAATACCAACCCTAAGACAGAAGAATCGACAGGCACATCAATCGATTCCTCCAAAAAAGCATTCCTCCACACTTAAGCCTACACTGCCAATGCGCACGCACAGTACATCTTCAAAAATTGCAGCGTCTAGTTCATAAAACAGTCGTCTTCTACCAACACTCTCCCGAATCTCGGATCACAACCACTCACGCCTCACCTTTCATTCTCAGATCACTTCAACCCGCGCGAAAACAGGTTCGAGACAACAAATACGCAACCGAAGCCACTACGCACAAAATCAATCGCCGCACACAGCAAACTCTTAACCTCTATGCGCTGTTCATTCCGATGCCCCCGCCCATTCATACCTACAGACTCGGCTGGGGGGACGGTCCTGCAGCCACAGCTGAACGCGCGACGCCGTGGATCATCCGAGAAGAGATTTGGAGAGAGGTGCGATAATGCCAAAAAATGCGCCAGTTACTTAGACGACGAACTTGAGCCCTGCCCCTGCATAACGACTCAGCCCCGCTGGTGCAAGGTGCACTGATCCCATGCTCGCCCCGTCGAGAGCCGACAATAGCGGGCGAAACCAGCGCTACCGGGACACTCAAACCAGGAATCCAAGAAAACGGCAACCAAGAATAGCAAACCGACGTTACAAACCCGAGCAGGACAACGCGAGTGCCCCGAAGCGCACGATACGTCAAGTCAAGAGGCAAAATGGGAAGGAAGAGAAGACCGACTCGCCATAGCCAGCCAGCCAGCACGGCACAGCAAGCCAGCGACACACAAGCCAGGCTCCGTTGAAAGGGGAAAATTGCAAGGCCACGCCAACATGGCGACCGGGGCTCCTTGTCACCTCCCACCGGATCTCCCGGTCAAATTCCCCCTCCCCTCTACTACAGGAAGTGCTTTTTTTACTACCTATTCCTCCTTCCCTCACTGTTTGTTGTCGGCAACGCCCACTAGCTTGATCTCTCAACCGACCTCACTTGTCAAACTGGAAATTGTCGCTGCTTCAAGCCTACCTATTAAGCAGTGATCCGCCAAGCTGGCCGGACTGGATGTGTGGCATGCAAGGAGGGGATAATGACATTGTGTAAGAATATTTGACTTTACCAACGGAAAAGTGGATCTGCATCACCTTCGGATTTTGTGGCATGGATTGCAGAGTACCAGGCTTCAGAGGAAGGCGCCTCAGAGTGTATCTCATTTCTGCCGTTTTTTTTTCTTTTTTCTCTCTTTTAAAAAAAAAAAAAAAAACAGAGGTTTTCATGGTTTGTGTGGTCGGGTAAAGGTAGAAAATCCCATCAAAGCATAACTCAAGTAACACTAGCACCGGACTTGTCAAGATGACGATGTCAACCCTAACCTCTCTGTGCGTGTGTTTAAGCATTCGAATAAGTGCATCGGCCAAACCCTAAATCCTACATCCTTTTATGTGTGTTGGAGCAAAAAGCACAAATTCTTCATGACAATTGTCAGCCAAGGACGAGAAGGGCGCCATACAATCCATGCATTTCTTCGAGGTATAGTTTGAGAGAGAAGTGGTTGTGGCACAAGTGGTTCTCCAGAGGTTCTTCCTTTCTGGTTTTTTGTTTTTTTAAAAGTCACAAAGAACACCACACACACACACACGCCCCTTTGAAATACTGGGGAAGTCAATCCCCGTCCCTGAGCTCCTCCGTCCTTAAGGTGCATTGTGCTTCAGAAATGTGTGGAATGGAATCCTTGCACAGCAAGGGCACACGGATGATCTCGCCCGCCATTGCCAGTTGGCGACGGTCAGGGGTCCCAGGAAATTTTTGAGGGAAGGGTGCTCAATGCGCTCCCCCTCCTCAGTGGACTGGTGCGAAGTCTGAGAGGGTCCATTTTCATGAGCTACTGATAAAAAATGTACTTTACTATATATATATATATATATATGTTTATGTGTACGTATGTATGTATGTGTGTGTATGTATGGATACATACACACATGAAGTATCACAAAAATTGTGTTGAGAATGTTTTAGTTTTTTACTCAATTCACAGTTACAATGAAAGAACTGTATTAATATTCTTTGAGTTTTGATGTGAAGCTGTCATAGCTTGATTTGTTTAGGAGCTGTTGTGAATAAAATAAAAGAAGAGAATAATTACTTTGCGTACGATTTGTGTATTTGAAACATATCGTGAATAAAATTTTAAAAATCTAAATGAGATGAAAATTCATATTGACATTGATGACTAATTACAAAAAATATTCTGCATTGTGACATTTGGTTTGAAGTTTTTTTTTAAATGCAAATTTAAAAAATATGAATAAAATAAAATAAAATAAATCAATTACTAATTTCGCTTCTACAAACACGAAGTTCCATGATTCAATCTCGTTTTTGTCTACATGATTTTTACTAATCGTATTAAACTTTACAGGGCAAATTCTATGTCATTACTAACCAAACTGTAAAGATTATGTTTTAATTGGTCATGATTGTGTATCACAAATTTTATATAACGAGACAAAAATAAACCAATAAAGTAACACCGAACTGCTGTGATTGTCATAAGGTTAAGCCATGAGATTTTTCTTTTTGGAATCCAAAACTACATAACTGGAATAAAATCAATTAAAATCATGTATCAAATCCAAATTTGTAAAATGATATTAAAAATAATATATGTAAAATTTGATATGTAAAATTCAAGCAAATATAATTGCAAGTCTACAAGAAATATGTATATGCATGTCTTTATATAAATGTTCATCTATAATATCAATCTTATAATCATCACACAATTGTACAAAATAAAACTTCTCTTAGTTTTATACATTTGAAGGAATTATTCTATGAATAAAATAAAAATATCTTGTCATTAGTACTAAATGACATGACTATCTCACATATTCTCATGTAATAACGTTAAAGTGACAACAATCAAAGCATCAAAGTCCAGTAGCTCCGCGCGGAAAGGGGGTGCTGAAAGGAGTGGTCATGGGGCCAAAGGAAGCGCATGACCGACCCACCAGCTGGCTGTCGCCGTGGCAGGGAGTGAATGAGTGTGAGCCACGTAAAATGTAGTGGATGAGAGATAGACATGCCCTTGCATCACAGATCGAGACTATGGCTGGCCGGGTATGTGGCTTATTGATACCCTTCGAAAGCATTATATATATATATATATATATATTTGATAAAAAGCCACATTTGGTATGTTATATATATTCAGATTTATATTCGAATAAAGTCATTCTACATGTTTCACAATTATATTTAATCAATATCTTATGAGGAGTTTGCACTATCCAAGTAAACAGTTTACATTGTGTTCAATCCATTCATATAGATATATATATGTGTGTGTGTGTTTTTACAGCAAATACATGAATGATAGATATTCCAAATTATCAATGAACTGCAACGGAGAGGAAGATGTTCCCTTTTTAACTATGAAAATTTGTTAAATATTAGAAGATAATTCGTACAAATACATGATATTATGTTTTTAACTGGTTTTTTTGTTTAATTGTATTTGACTATAGTTGTCTTTATTTAAATATGTATTAGATTGTGGACTTTGAAGATTGTTTTTGGTACAACTTTGAATTTGAAAAGGTTTAAAATTTATTTTTTGGCATCAGTATCCATGATTACTTTTTTCTTATTGAATTTGAATATTAGAGTTGTTGGAATTATTCACTTGATATATAGTTATTGGGCATAAATTATATAATTGGATAATTTAGGATCATAGTTCTATCTTAATATTAGAATGTTAGATGGTCATGTAGCAATTACACATGAAGCCAAACTTTATTTATTGTTCAATGTCACTCTTAACAGATATTTGATTTGCACGCTACAACTTCAAAAAAATTAAATAGTATATAATGATCACTTCTACATGTACTTCATTAGATTTTGTAAGAAAATGTATTTCATAAATTGTGAAACAGTGTTTGTGGTTACATTTGTTTAATTAAAAAGAGTATAATATTTTTAAACTTACAAAATTGTAAAGTCCAATTACATAATGGAAATATTAATAATTATTAAACTAGTTAAACGAAAAAAACTGTTGCTATTTTTTGTTTAATGTTTTGTTTGATGTGGGTACACATATAAGCTGTTTGGTTTTTCAAAAAGTTTTATCTTTGTGATTAAATCTACAAATAGAAGCGTATATTCCCTTTGCCAACATTTAACCAGTTTGGATTCTATCAATTCTTTGAAATTAATCTTATTAGTTGGTAGATTCTGTGTAGTTTGTTTTTGCATTTTAAATGATGTAGATGCATTATTTTTAAAATTGAGGTATTTCAAAATAACGTTAATTATAATTTGATTTTATAAAAAGATTCCACCATCAAGCAATAAGTTTAATTAAATTTTTCTAAAAATACAATACATTTAACACAATTTGTTTTCATTAGATTATTTTTTAAAAAACCAAACTAACTTGTTGATGCATTGACACCTGTTTTGGTATTAATGTAATACACTATAATGTACATGTGTATATATTAAAAAATCCTGGATGTTATATTTTATGCATGAATAGGAGCTGTTTTGGACTTTTTTTTTTTTTTTTTTTTTTTTTTGTGAATTATTAAAATTTTCGTTGCATTTCTTTGACTGACAATAGCAAGTACAATGCTAGTACAAAAAAACTTTTTATTTCTATTTTTTTATTAATTTTGTAGCTATTTAAAGAATAATTTGTTTGACTTGATATTTTTATATTATTTTATTCTACTCCATGAGCTTGTTGTTTTTCATTTTCCCCTGTAAACCTTACCAGTGTCTTTGCCCAAAAAAATGAACATTTTTCACTTTGCTATGGGTGCCCTTGGGCATTTTTCTCAATCTCACTCTCACTTTTTGAAAAAGGTAACGTCATCATGTAAAAAAGAAGCGTTCACAAAACGTGAATGAGAACGCTTTTGGGAACTCATTTCAAATCTGTGAACTGAACGAAGCACGGTAGTGGGGGACAGACCCTACGCCCACGGAGGAGGCTCTTTCGCCGTGTTCCCCGACGCCTTATGGAGCTTTTCTTATTCTGTACTCTTTCCGTTCCGTCTTCTTGGCGACACAATCGGAGCCTTAGCCTGCTTCAAATCTAGCAGCAGCTCCACCTTGGTTTTCGTGCATGTGTGAAATCTCGCTTTACTTACGGATCCAATCGTCACTGGTCGTGTCTGTGTTCGGAATCCCCAAATAGGCACGGTTGGAAACAGTGTATTGATGTGCGGGAGGGTGTTTTTGATTCGTGCTGCGGCATTTTGAGGGGGTTTTTGCAGTCGAGGGATTACGAGGGATTGGAAGATGGTTCAATTGTCTGAGAATGAAGGCATAGAGGGCCACACCTTTGTGGTCACGGGCGGGGCAGGCTATGTTGGATCGTTGCTGTGCTTGGAACTGGTACGACGAGGCGCAGCTGAGGTTCGCTCGTTCGATTGTTGCAAGTCCCGGGAGCGCTTAGCCCTGCTGCAAGAGCACGGCGTTAAGTGCATCGTTGGTGAGTAATATGTAGCTGAGTTGTGAAAATTGTTGTTAGGGTCTCGGTCGGGGTCTGCTTAGTGTTCTCTATTGTTAAGAAAGTGCTACAAAATAATTAAAAAAAAAAAAAAAAAAAAAAAAAAAATGCATTACTGCTTGTCTTGTTGAACGAGTTTTACAGTTTGTTTCAGATTTCTTATTGATGCGTCGGTGGCTGTATTACGAAATAGGAGAATTGTTGAATCTAAAACGAGATGATAGTTATTTCTGGACTGCCTCGGCATGGCAATGTATACAATTATATTGTTGTGGATTTGGAACAGGATTGATGCGATCACGGAAGCTGCCTTCGTACTGTAAACGTAGATGGGTTGAATTTTAGTGTAACTCGTATTTCCCAGCACCTCCTGAATCCATTCAAGTCGGAGGTATATTTCACAAATCCGCAAAGGCTGCAAGGGCTCCAAACTTCGAGGACTAGATTTTGTTTTATCCAGATCCCGAGGCTAGTTAATTCGTGTACAGAAGTCCTGCCCTAGTTGTAGAGGCATCGCTATTTCAACGGCTTCTTGACAATCTCAACAGTGTAGATGGCTTTCCTTTGGACGGGGTCTAGGATCTCTGCGAAATCCTTGTTTTTGGGCATGATTGTCATTCCGGTAAGGGACGGGTTGTATAATGACCACGGGCTGCTTCTGAATTCCTTGATGTATTTGTTCGCGATAACTGACTGAAGGTGATGTGAGGCGCAAAGCGGACGTGGAGAAGGCGTTAAAAAATGCTGACTGTGTCTTTCACATGGCCTCATTCGGAATGTCCGGTAAAGAGATGCTTCAATCACGGCATATCGATGAAGTTAATGTGGATGGAACGTGCCATATTCTGGACAGCTGTGCAAAGTGCGGCGTGAGAAGGCTAGTGTACACGAGCACTTATAATGTAGTTTATGGTGGACAGGAAATTCGAAATGGAACAGAGAATTTACCCTATTTTCCTATTGAAAAGCACGTTGATCCCTACGGTCGCAGTAAGGCACTTGCAGAGCAATTTGTGATCCGAAGCAGTGGGCGACCTCTTGGGTAAGTTCCTTCATTTTGTTATGGAGATCTGTGTATGCTCTCTCTCTCTCTCTCTCTCTCTCTCTCTCTCTCCTCTTCCTCTAATATATCTCTTCTTTTCGCGAATTCTGTTGCTGCAAAGATTGTAATGAATTAGGAGCAACTAAGCGATTGCTGTTTGTGACATATCGACACTGAACTCGTAAACGTGATTGCTTTTACGTCCTTGTGCTCTTGAATGTTTGTACCTCAGACAGTTGTGGTTTATTCGACGTGTGACATTGATATATGCGTAGATATTGCAGTCTTACTTGCATGTGTACTCGTAATTATTTGCAGAAACAAAAAAGGAAAAAGATTGTATACGTGTGCTCTTAGACCAGCTGCCATTTACGGTCCGGGAGAGCAACGCCATTTTCCTAGGATCATACAGATGGCAAGATTGGGATTACTTAAGTTTCGCATTGGGGGTCCCAACATACTCACTGACTGGGTGTATGGTGACAATCTGGTTCATGCTCAGCTGTTGGCTAGTATGGCGCTTATCGATGATTTACCCGGAAGGTCGGGGATTCCCCCTGCTGCTGGTCAGGCCTATTTTATCTCAGATGGTATGTTCTTGATTCTTGTCCTTGTTGATAATTGTTTCTATTAGGCCGTAGGCAAGATGCAGTGTGGAGTTGCTCAGCATGCCAACCCGGTTGCTCGTGCATACTTCAGTCGATAGTTAAATTTTTTAAAGTGGTAATGCTTGGTGGGGGTAGTCCACATTCATCTAAGGTGACAGTGTACATGTGAAAAGCTGATGATTGGAGAAGTATTTTCGCATGCGAAGTGTACTTGAGTTTGCAGAGACTGGTGCTGTTAGCTCACACGTACTCGGCTGTCATTTTAACAGGAGCTCCCCTTAATTCTTTTGAGTTGATAAAACCAATCGTGGAGGGAGTAGGCTACACAATGCCTCAACGCGAACTATCTGTGAAATCTGCAATGACTCTGGCGTGGGGCATGTATGCATTTTATGGTCTTCTGTACCCGTGGCTCCAGAAATCTTGGATTCCTGAGCCTTTTATCCTTCCTGCTGAGGTTTTTAAGGTACTATCATTTGAACACGTCGTTACATTGTTAAATTGCCTTGGAATCTGTTCTAGAGATGGAAATGAACATTAGTCGTTACTCTGCTTGATTCATTCCTGGTTCATTCCAGGATTGGCACTTATAACTTTTTTGATGGGGACCTCATCTTTTGACGAAGTCAGTTTGAACCATAAGCATTTAAATAGACTCAGCCATTATAAGTTGTTTAAGGGATGGTTCTTAATCAAAGGGCAGTAATGGTTCTTACACAACAAATGGATGCACTTACAGGTTGGTGTTACGCATTATTGCTCAACGTGGAAAGCTAGGCAGGAAATTGGCTACACCGCAATTGTGGACAAGAAGGATGCCTTGGACCGGACTGTTACTTACTGGAAAGAGCGACATTCCCAGGAGCTGGACGGCCCTCCATTGCTGTCCTGGATATTTTTGTTGGGTGGCATGTTTCTGTTGTTTCTATGCGTGTATGTGCCAGCTCCTTTCATGGGTCCGCTGGAGTTCATCCGCTGGATTGGACTATTTATTTTTCGTTCCCAGGAGACTTTGCGGATCATTCTTTACCTGGCATGCCTTGCTCATCTTCTTGAGGGCATATATGCTTGGATAGTAGCAATGAAAGCAGATCGCAAAAATGCCAGAGGTTGGTTTTGGCAAACATTAGCGCTTGGATATCCATCGCTTCAATACTTGTTGAAAAGAGCTGAGAAAAAGAAGCTGCACCAGAAATAAGCAATTCCAACCTTTTTATTACAGTTTCAGAGCGTGTTAGTAACGCCTATTCTTTACTCTGTCAGCTCAAGTACCGTACAGTGCAGGGTGGCCACACGCTGGAGTTGCATCAACCTAGTTCCAAGTCTCGGCAGGTCACTTTGGGTAGAGAGCCAGAAAGTGTCCAAATCAGCTTAAGACGACATTTTCGCGGTGAATCGGGTTAACGTACCTTAGATTCAGTTTTCGCCTTCCAGGTTACTGAAAATTTTGCAAATACCGTCTTTTTTAGATACTCATTTAGGGTTTCGAGTTTGCCGTCTTATTATCAACAAAATGTGGATGGTTGATTGTGGAGCAAGAGGTCTGATTTCTACCGACGGTTCGTACCGAGTTGCTAGCAATTTTTTTTGTTGTTCAGAAACAGATCGCACGGTACCGCCACCAACTAATGCTGAAATTCCTGCATCCACTCGATGAGAAGGACAGCTAGTCAACAATTCATGGAAGGTTCGATCTGGGCCAAAAAATGGATTGATTTTGACTTTGAAATCATTAAATGCAGCCAGGGCTCTCCATAATATTTACAGTAAATACTATAGCTACAGTATTTAGAGTCTAGTGGAGAAGTACTCTTATCCTCTCCCCTTTTCTCTTCTTGTATACGAGACACAATTAGATCGATAGATTTTTATGTGTGAAGCTCTTTCCTTAGAAACCCTCTTGTGTGTATGACTACTACTTTTATGTGTGTGTATGATTTACTATTACTCTTGTGTGTGTATATATGACTTACTATTATTCTTCTGGGTGTGTATGATTTACTATTACTCTTGTGTGTGTGTATGACTTACTATTATTCTTGTGTCTTTCTAAACATTCTCAACACGTTATCAGTATGATTCTCTTCTACATACTATTACAAATTTTTTTATTCTAGTCTTGACTCTTCAAACCTGTTGCTATTCTTGCTAATTCTTCACACATTAGTTGCTTGCTTAGAATACTTGTTCCACTCTTTGCCATGCTTTCTTAGAATATTTGTTTAGAATACTTGATCTAGTCCAACTCCACCCCGGCTTGCTCTTTATTCCTTGTCGCCAAACAGCCGCCAAATTGTCGCTGAGTTGCTACCGCTGCCACCCTGTCGCCGCTGACGTTGTTGCTCGTCGTTGTCGTCGTCTTAACTTTGCTGCTGCCCGCCGTTGCCACCCTATCACCCTACCATTGCCTGCTACCACCATCTTATTGCTGTTCTACTGCCTTAATCCACAATCTCCTTAAAAAAAAAAAAAAAAAAAATATACATATTTTTATTTTTTCAAGTTTAAGTTTATCATTTTATTTGACTTTATATTTTAAGGTACGTTTTACTCAACTTTTCTACTTGATCTTATATTTTCTTTACAGATTTATTTATAATGAGTGCTTCAACATCTTCAACTGCTTCTACTATGGTTCCAACTATTATCAGTGCATTTCAACATTTTCAAGCTCTTTTAATTCTACCCTTGATTGTGAATGGAAACAATTATCTATTATGGGCAAAAATGACAAAAAAAATTTATTTGTAGAACAACTCTTGGATGCCATTATGTTTGAAGAATCTCCTACAATGAGTATTTCTATACTTCTTGCTATTTGTTGAAAAGCACTTCTTCTCCTTCGTCGTCATCTTGTACTTGCATTACAACATCAATATTTGGAAATGGAAGATCCTACAGAACTTTGGAAGAATCTTAAATCCAGGTTTGATCATCAAAAGACCATTTTTCTTCCACATGCATGTCATAATTGGACACATTTACGTGTATTGGATTTTCCAAATTTAAATACTTTCAATAGTGCAATGTATAGTATTGTCTCACAAATACGATTATGTGGACAAAGTATTTCTGAAGAAGAAATGATTGAGAAAACTCTCTCTACATTTCTTCTTGTATTTGTTGTGCTTGCACAACAATACAAGAACATGAAATTTTAGAGTCATTCCGATCTCATGTCCTATCTATTTCTTGCGGAGAAGCAAAATGAGTTACTCTTGCATAATGGGGAAGCTTATCCTATTGGAATTATAGTTCTTGAATCTCATGCACTTAATATTTCAAAGTCTAAGAAGAAATTATGTAAACATGGAAAACATGCTCATAAGTATCAGGGTAGTCATAATCATGACCATTTCTACCCATATGGAAAGAATAAACATTCTACTATTAATTATAATAGAAAATAAAAATCAGAGATGCATTCTTGCCATAAGTGTGGAATGATTGGATATTTAGCACATGCATACTATACTTCAGAATATTTTATTAAAATGTTCCAAGAAAATAAGAAATTGTGAGCTGAGGCTCGTGAAGTTCCTACTATGGATGCGTCCATGGATTCAATTGGTGTTGATGACTTAGAGGCTTATATGAATGATAGAACCTCTAATGATGAATCAAATGATGCGCTCATGTGATTTGACCTCCCATTATATTGTTAGAGACATAGTTCTTAGAACCTTCTAGAGACAAGTTTCTAAAACCTTTTAAAAGCAAGTCTTTGGAACCTTCTAGAAGCTTCTTAGTTGGTGGAAGTTACTTGAGAAGTTTCCTAAATAGGAGTATATATTGGAATCGAGGCTGAAGAGTTCTTCAGTCTCGACAACACATCTCTTGGAGCTCTAGCTCACCTCTTTGGTGTTGTTCTTGTATTCATCTGATTAATCTAGTTCTTGTCAGTTCTTCTTGAACTTCTTGTTAGATCTCAAGCGTGTATTTCTGTGTCTGTGATAATTTCTATGTCCATGACAGTTTGTCGAGACTTCACTCACCTCAGATATTAGAGCTAGTTTCTTCCTTGTTAGAGTGTGGATTACCCCTCTGCTTGAAGATGTACTAGCGTTTTACAAGTTGCGGATTACCCTCCTCTAAACTGATACTTCTTTTGTTACAATATTGGAGTCTTATTCTTCTTGGAGAGAGTGGATTACCCTTTTTTTTTGAAGCTCTTAAGGCGTTTTAGAGGTTGCGGAGTACCCTCCTCTAAACCAATATTATCTTCTTGTACAGTCATTTATGTCCTTCTCTTAGAATGGCTGGAGGCCAAGACATTAGTATGACGGAAAGTTCGGAGTCCAAGTTGGATGCTATCATGAATGCCCTCGCTACATTATCGCAAAGAACTGTAGAGTTTGAAGGAGTCGTGGCAAGGCTTCATAATGATGGAGCATCTGGGATGGCACAATCTAGGTTGCACCAGCGTCAAACTTCTGCACTTGGAGAAGCAAATTTGCCTCAAGTTCGACAAGCATCATTGGTTCTACAACATAAGGAGCCCCGAGTTAGGCTTCCGGACAAGTTCGATGGTACGCATTCCAAGTTTCGAGGATTCGTCAATCAAATCAGGTTGATAATAGTTTTACAGCCCAAATGCTATCCAACGAAGGAGCCACGTATTGGGCTTGTTGGAACCTTACTTACAGAGCAAGCTTTATCATAGTTTGCTCCTTTGTTTGAGAAATGATCGTACATATTAAACAACTTTGAAACCTTTTTGGAGGTGTTTGCGGAAGCATTTGGTGAACACGACAAGGTTCGATGGGCTAAACCAAAGATCTGATCACTACGACAAGGGATGCGCTCTGCATCAATCTATGCATCGGATTTCAGGCAATTAGCATGCGACATCAATTAGGATGAAGAAGCATTGATGAATCAATTCTATTGGGGTTTAAGGGACGATGTGAATAGTTTTGTAAATAGGAGTATATATTGGAATCAAAGCTGAAGAGTTCTTCAATCTTGACAACACATCTCTTAGAGCTCTAGCTCACCTCTCTAGTATTGTTCTTGTATTCATCTGATTAATCTAGTTCTTATGAATTCTCTTTGAATTTCTTGTTAGATCTCGAGCTTGTATTTCTATGTCCGTGATAATTTTTGTGTCCGTGACATATATTTAATTTTGCATCATCTATCATAGAGAATCATGTTTCTCTCTGACATGGACGATTAGGACATCCAAGGTCCACATTATTTAGAAAGATCATTCCATATATAACTAAGCTTAATTTAAAGCCTACGGATGTAGAATCTATAGAATTATGTCATGCATGCATGCAAGGTAAAATGATTACTTTGCCTTCAATTTGGAAACTTCTACAAGAAATACCACTAATGCTTGAAAGATTGCATGGTAATATTTGTGGTCCTATTAATCCAATATCAAGACCATTTTGTTATTTTTTTGTCCTTGTTGATGCAACAGGTAAACAATCACATGTTTCATTATTATCAACTCGAAACATGGTATTTGCCAATCTTATATCTATGCTTATTCATTTTCGGGCACATTTTCTTGATTATCCTATAAAAACATTGCGTATGGATAATGCAAAAGAATTCGCATCAAAGTCTTTTGAAGACTATTGTACTACAACAAGAATCGAATTGACATATTGTGTTCTATATGAATATGCTTAAAATGGACTTGTAGAGTCATTTATAAAGCATATACAATTCATTACTCGGCCTCTCCTCCTTCACACAAATTTACTTGCATCTATGTGGGGTCATGCAATTTTACATGGTGTAGCATTAATATGCCTCCGCCCTTCTTCTCTTGAAATTGTTTCACCACATGAGCTCATTTCGGGTCGTGTTCCAAATATATCTCACTTACAAGTATTTGGTTGCTGTGCTTGGATTCGAGTACCAGAACCTCAACGGCGTACCATTGGAGCTCATCGACAAGAAGATATATATGTTGGTTTTGATTCACCAAGCATTATTCATATTGTTGATCCATCAACTGGCACACTATTACGTGCACGCTTATAAAATTGTCGTTTTGAAGAAAATGTATTCCCATCTATTCAAGGAGGAGTATCTAATCAACAAAGAAATAAAGTATTCATATTTGAAGCACCAGAAACATTTACAATGAATCTTGATCCTAGGACATCTTTGGCAGAAACCGAAGTTGCTAAGATTTTGCATCTAAAACAGATCGCAGATGAAACACCTGATGGCTTCAATGATACACCTAGAATTACAAGAGTTCCTATTAATGAGGCTCAGAATGCACCTGCTCAGATTGCAATGCCATTGACTACAATACCTCAAGTTATAACAACAACAACTAAAAGAACTCGTGGACCAAATAAGCAACCACGTAAGAAGAAAGCTATAAAATTGACTAATCCTGATATTATTTCTCAAGAAATTGCCACACATCTTGTAGGACTACCAATTCATGATGATATATCCATGCATAATGTACCTTCAATTCCTATAAAAAACAATCTTGGAATTGGAAGGAATAAGAACAAGTTGAGTAAAGAATTATCTATTATGTATTGTGTTATAGATGATATTTGGGACAGACCATCTATTATGGTAGATGAATCATTTGCATATATGATTATAGAAGCCCTTTCTTGCGAGGAAGACAATCCTCAACCTCAAACCATCGAAGAGGCAATGCATCGCTCAGATTGGTCAAAATGGAAAACTGCTATTGAGAAGGAATATGCCTCTTTGCGTAAGAGAAAAGTCTTTGGTCCAATTGTAGACACTCTTACATCTTGCCTTGTGGGATATAAAATCGTATTAATATGCAAGCGAGATATTCAAGGCCAAATAACCTGCTAGAAAGCTTGTCTTGTTGTTCAAAGATTTATTCAACAATTTGGCATTGATTATGAATTCACATATTCTCCAGTCATGGATTCAATTACATTTCGATATATTATTGGAATGACAATTCATGCCACCCTTGACATGTATCTGATGGATATAGTAACTATATATCTATATGGTTCTCTTGATGCAAATATTTATATAAAAGTTCCACTTGGCTTAGAAATAGGAACTCCAAATCGACCCGCTTTAGGACAATATTAGGGTATTAAATTATGTAAGGCCTTGTATGGTTTAAAACAATCCGGATGCATGTGGTATCAACGTCTTTGAGATTATTTAATTACAAATAATTTTATAAGTGATCCACTAATCTCTTGTTTGTTTATCAAACAAGATAAAACTAGTTTTGTGATCATTGCTATATATGTTGATGATCTTAATCTAGTGGGCACTACAACTGCATGTGTTACAACTACTAACCTACTTATACATGAATTTGAGATGAAAATGCTAGAAAAAATAACTTTTTGTATAGGTCTTCAGATTATGCATCTAATAGATGGTAGCATTTTTCTCTACCAACTAACGTATATTAGACGAAACTTGCAAAGATTTAATATGATTGATGCTTATCCATTGTCCATACCAATGGTTGGACATGGTCATGATGGTCATGATCCATACCGTCCATGTGAAGAGGAGGAAATATTGGGAGATCAATATCTATACCTCGCAGTGGTTGGAGCACTTTTGTATTTAGGTACATCTACAATACCAAATATTGCATTTGCAGTTAGTGTTCTTGCAAGACATAGTACACGTCCAATACTACGACATTAAAATGACATCAAACATTTATTACGTTATTTAAAAAGTACTGAAGACTTGAGATTATACTACACACAATCCGCAGATCCAAAATTGGTTAGATATTGTGATGCAAGATATAAATCTGGTATTGCAACAGCTAAATCTCAAACATGATATGTATTCTTAAGACATGGAGCTGCAATATCAGGAAAATCAGTGAAACAAACAATAACTGCAACTTCATCCAACCATGCAGAAATTATTGCCTTACATGAAGCATCTCGAGAATGTATTTGGTTGCGATCAATTGATAAATTCATTCAAACAACCTGTGGATTTTCATATGATGATTCTCCAACTATCTTGCATGAAGATAATACTGCTTATATTGCACAGATGCAAGTTGGTTTCATTAAAGGCAACATGACAAAGCATATTGATCCAAAGTATTTTAGTTATATCCATGACTTGATTACTGTTCAAGCACTTATAATTAAGAAAATTACAAATAACGTTGCTGATCTCTTCACTAAAGCTCTTCCATTAAGCAACCATCGTCGACTTACTTATGGCATTGATATGCAGCGACTTGCTCTTCTTGAATAAGAAAGTTAATAAGCTCTTTAAATAATTAAAGAAAATGATATTGTACTCTTTTTCCTTTATTTATGGTTTTGCCCTTAAATAAAATAAGATTTTCCTAGATAAGGTTTTAATGAGGCAACAATTGTTGATCTTACAAGATCACAGAAAAGTATAGATCATAATTCTATATAAATTTTATATTATGTAAATATTATGATGAGCGAGGAGGAGTGTTGAAATCATTAAATGTAGTCGACGCTCTCCATAATATTTAATGTAGACTATAGTAAATACTATAGCTACAATATTTAGAGTCTAGTGGAGAAGTACTGTTTATCCTCTTCCCTTTTCTCTTCTTGTATACAAGACACAACCAGATCAATAGATTTTTATGTGTGAAGCTCTCTCTCCTTAGAAACCCTCTTGTGTGTATGACTTACTACTACTCTTGTGTGTGTGTATGACTTACTATTACTCTTGTGTCTTTCTAAACATTCTCAACATACTTAAAGCACTTGTGATGAGGACTTGAACCAATATCCTTCAGTGTTCATCTTTTGTGTATCCTTTGCACTGCAGTGATTTATAAAGTACTCAAATGTTTCATTGACATTTCATAGCCCCACTGTCTACATTCACACCCATTTGTCTATTGTACAATAAAAATCTGTTTAATAGTTCGTCTTTTACATCAATGGAATTTCGTTGATTTCTTTGTATGAACATGATATCTTGTTTCAACTTCGCAAATCACTTGAAGACATTGTTTTATGAATATTAATAAACGTACCAAGACCATAACGAACTCATTACTCTCGGCACAGAAACAAAGATTAGCACTCCACTTTTCCGAAACCCTAATCCTCTCCACCGTCACTGCCCATGGGGCACGACCGAGACTCCTTCACCGCGACGACCCTACTAGAGACCGTGCTGCAAACCCTTGACCGTGGCCTATATGTCGGGACCCAAGACCGTCTCTACCACCGCCGAGGTTGTAAGTCTCTGAAGCAGTGCGTCGATTACGGGAATTGCCTGCCAAGTGTAGTCTCCGTCGCCAAATTTCGCTCTCCTTCTGTGTTGATACATTTGTGTAGATCACTAGGGCGCATCACAAGCTTCTGTTGTTGTACTGATTCTCTATTTCGCGGTCGTCTTTTGGAGGGGCTGTAGTTGAATTGTGGTCCATTTAGTTTAGTTTTTCTGAGGGTTGAAGGAGTTCAGTGTTTTTCGGTTCAGAAGAAGAGAGCGGGGGAGAGGGAGAGGGGGAAAGATATGTGTGGGAGGGCGCGGTGCACGGTGAGAGTTGATGCAGTAGGACGTGCTTGCGGCTTCTCGGCTCCCTTGCGTTCCGTGAATGCTGATCGGTATGTCAGTTCTGCACCTGGTGTCCAGCTTGGGACTCTTTCGGCTGGCTTCATGAAGAAGCTGCTGTACATGTGCTTTGAAGTTCTGTGGTTGCAGCTGATTTTGACCTTTTTGTGTTTCTTGAGCGATTTTTGAGAAAAATTGTGCAATTCTCAATGCCGATTTCGATTCCAATGTGATGTTTAGGAGGGTGCTGCTTTTTCAGTGAGAATTGGCATGTGACGATAGAGATATTTCGGTCCGCACTCGTTGTTATCAAATTGGAGCTCCTCTGCGTTCCATTCCACTGTAGCTATCTCTTAAGTTTAGCGGTGCTTGGCTTTTGGCAACAATCATTTTGTTGACGCACGACTCTCTGACATTTATCGCAATTTACTTAATTAGAAGCTTTGAGGCAGTCTTTTTTGAGTTGCAGTTTTTTTTTTTTTCAAAAGATAGCCGACGAATGTGGTCAGGGTTTTGAGGCTCCAGAAGTTGAGACAATTTTTAGATGTTTTCTGTGCGACTTTTTTTCACAATGTCGTGTAAATTGACTACATTCAAAGCATTGTTTTCCTTCACTCCTTTAATTTGAATTCACATTTATGTCCAGCAGGTAATACGATGATATCTTCTTAAATTCTAAACCCTTAAATGTGCGTCTACAATCATTATGCGGTCCTCTGGTCTTCTGTCATGAATATTATTAGTTATGTGTTTGCAGATATCAGCCCTCGTACAATGTGGCACCAGGTGCACACATGCCTGTTGTGCGACACGATGGTGCTGGTGATGCAAGGGAGCCTGTTGTGCACTGCATGAGATGGGGCCTCGTCCCCAACTTTGCCAAGAAGTCAGAGAAACCAGATTTTTATCGTATGGTAAGCAAATACGTGTTTCTAAAATACTAATACACGTTCTTTTACTAAATGAAATGTTGATGCTTTCGAAATTTGATCCCAGATTATGCTTTATATCGTGAGCTTCTTTTTTGTGATTTGTTTGATTGTTGTTTTCCAGTTTAACGCTAGGTCAGAATCTGTACATCAGAAGATCTCTTTTCGTCGACTGTTGGCGAAGAATCGATGCCTTACTACTGTAGAAGGGTGAGTATGTCCTCGCACTCAATTTCCTTTCGTAACAGTTTATCTGCCAGTTGATAAGAGACGCTGCAAATTGTCAGAGGACTTGTCAATAGATTAACGCATGCTTACAACGCTCACTGAATGGCTTGTTCACTTGACAACAAGTCTGCCTATTTTACTTAAGATTGTGTATGTATTATAATAAGTTCTCTAGTCCTCTTTATTCAGGTTTTACGAATGGAAAAAAGATGGCCAGAAAAAGCAGCCATATTATATACACATGCAAGACGGGCATCCTCTCGTGTTTGCTGCATTATATGATACTTGGGAATCTCCTGAAGGTATTCACGGCTTAAAAGAGACCTTGAATTATTTATATGAGCAATTTAGTTTACATTTAATTGAAGCATGCACGTATTGCTTTTTCTGTGTACGAAATACTTGAAAGTTGTTTCTGTCAATTCTGGCAGGGGATATGTTGTATACATTCACTATCTTAACCACTCGTGTGTCAAAGCGGTTAGAATGGTTACATGGTATGAGTTCCGAATCTTTTTCATTTTTGCGCTTCTGATTTTTTGTTGGATCATGCTATTCATTGTTGGGAGTGTCGTCACTTTGACATCTTGTTGGTACTTGGAACGTCATATGTCTACATTGGGATATAATCATGACTGAGCTCTAGGATATGGCCAAGGACTATGTTGTCTAAAAAAAAACCTAGTTTTACGTTGTCACCCTTTGAACGGTTTATGGTCATGACCATGAGGTTTGAGAAATCGCTGTGGTGGTGTGTAGACAGGATGCCAGTTATATTGAAAGGTCAGGATACTATCGACTCATGGTTGAATGATAATTTATCTGAAGATGTTATGAAAAAGCTGACACAACCTTATGAAGCTCCTGACCTTGTAAGAATGCAACCGTCGTGATGGGGCCCACCCTGCTTCGTGTGTTTGAAGTGATTATCTTTTATTATCAGGGGCTTACTTTATATCCCCGAAATAGGTTCGAGTAATCTATGAAGGTCATGCACCTCACTAACGGTTGGATGTATTTTCAGATTTGGTATCCTGTCACTCCAGCCATGGGAAAACCAGCGTTCAATGGACCCGAGTGCATTGAGGAGGTAGAATAAGTCATTTTGAGATTCTATCATTGATTAAATGAAAAGAAAAAAGAACCATAATCAGTAGTTATTGACTCTGTTTAGGGATTTGGGCCAGACTGACACCAACTTCAGGTCATTGCGAAGGGGGGATTTTTTTTAATTGATGGATACTGGATAGATGCACTTAATCAAAACTTGGATAGATACAAGCTCTTTGAAAGCGTGCATGTGATTGTTGTAAGGAATCCAGACTAGCTACACAAATTCTCCCTGTAACTATGGGATGCATTTGTTGAGAACTTTGAAGTCTTCCCAACCGGCTGGATTCTTATGTACTGAGGTTTGATTCAGCCTGGATGTATTCAATACAGATCAAGCCGAAGGTGGCAGGCGAGAGCAACATAGCCCAAATGTTTGGGAAACAGCTTGCACAGGAGAATAAAAGTCACGTTAACAAAGTAATGTCTCAAGATATCAAGGATGAAGATTTTCTTAATGATGAAGACTTTAAGGCTTTGCTCGCAGGCATGCAGCCTGATCAGGATGTCAGTGAAGCAGTGAGTCACTCTGAATATTCATCTCTGGATAGATTAAATACACAGGCTACACCGAAGGAAGAAGCTCCTCCGCTCATTAAACCTGAAACGAAAGAAGAAGATCCTCCGCTCATTAAACCTGAAACGAAAGAAGAAGATCCTCCGCTCATTAAACCCGAAACGAAAGAAGAAGATCCTCCGCTCATTAAACCCGAAACGAAGGAAGACCATGTGCCTCAGACCAACAAGGAAGAAGACTCTGCTACAGCAGGTAACGATATATCTTGTACCGAACCAACCAGCCCAAAGACCAGCCCAGTTTCCACTCCTGTGAAGCCGCAAGCTAGGACAGCAGCTACACTGGTCAATCGTCACGACCCAAAGCGTCAACGGGTGAATGATGTTTCGAAAGGATCTTCTAAAAATGCTGTGCATGCAGGGGTCAAGCAAAAGCAAAGCAACCTTCTTGGGTTCTTCTCCAAAGAGTAGTGAAGCATTGTACAACCCAGAGCAGCACTGAACTACTATTCTCAAGGGACTTGGTTGATTTGCAAAGCACCAATCTGTAGAGGCGATCGAAGACATCACTACAACCCAGCTCAGAATACTTTATCGATTCTGAACCAGTTGCTCTTAGTAGCATTTTAAGGGAATGCCGAAGCAGTGGATACATTCCTTTGCTATCCAATAAGTTCATCACATCTCGATGCAGAGATAGTTGCAATTGCTGTCTGGCTCTTAGGCTTTTTGTTTTCCAAAAATGAAGATATCAAATGCAATGTAAATTTCTTATCTGGTTCTCTGCTTTGTGGCCAAGTTGCGGAAACAAAAGTCTCATCGCTGATGAATCCCTTCAGAAACGTGTGGGAAATTTACGCAGTCCTGAGTGGTAAATTTATGACTTCAGCAATCTTATCGGGTAAAAAATAATAATTGAGGACCTTTATCAATTCCATCCAATGCATTCTTGCAAAAACTGTTCATAACCTTATTACCTTGAAATGTGGAAGGTAGGGAAATGGCCTTGTAGAGAAATAACAATCCTTTCTAAGCTTTCATCGTAATGTGAGGTCAAAGCAAGACCCACGACAGGCCTGAGCCTCGAAAAACTTCGAACAGAATTAGAGGAGCTCTGTTTCCGGATAGTAATGGACGAAGAAGAAAAAAAAATTGAAAATTTTCAAGGCTCTTTGATTCCAATCGAAACTGGGATGTGTACCGTGTGTCCTAAGGACCCCTTGAATATGATCCGCCCAAAGGAAGCTGTCTGTGAAGTTGCTGTTGCTCGCAAAGTGAAGCCAACGGTTTGCGTGTTTTGAAGACCGGTTCCGATTGCGAAGCTTGTGGGGCTGGCTGTGAGGACAACGTCTGCTGGGTTCGTCCATGTCACGGTGTACGTCTCTCCCGCTGCCATGACATTCGTGACGGTTCGCGACACAGTTTTGGTCCCCACCAGATTGGCGAATGTGATGGATGGGGTGTTGAGGTCGGCTGGAATGCCTGGAGCTTGTGGGCATGCTGTTTTCGTCGCAGCCAACACTTCTCCGGGAGTTGACATGTTTGCAGAACATAGAAACTTTATGTAGTCTAGATATACTGTTGCAGATACCAGCCAAAAACCACATAAATTATAACGAAGTCCAAGAACATTCACAATCAGCGAAACTTGAATTTGATGTCATGTTTTCAGTCTGATAGTGAGCATAAGAAGTAGAAATCTAAGGACTTGTTCGATGGTGCGTAATTACAATGTAAACCATGGGAATTTGGAAGAGTCTAGCGGGCAGCGAGAGAGAGAGTAAGTGAGAGAGAGAGAGAGAGAGAGAGAAGTTCGAATACCTGCTTCGAAGATGAGGCCTGGATTAATGGCAGCATTGATATTGAGCGCTCCACCTCCCATGTCAAAGGGCGTAGCGTCTTGCAGCAAAGGTGTAGGGCCTCCAGAGAGTTGCTGTGACTGAATTGGTCGCCCTTGCTGGTCTAGAACATCAGCTGTTGTGACCATGGCTGACGAGAGAGCGGCTGGACTCCATGCCGGATACTTCGCTTTGAGCAAAGCAGAAAGACCCGCAACGTGGGGCGTCGCCATACTTGTTCCCGAGATCATGGCAAAATGTTCACCTACAGGTACAAAAACAAGCCACCTCAATGCAGTTCTCGAAAAGCATTCTAAACCCATCCATCCATTTCTCTGAGGATTGTATCTTCCAGATGACACAGACGTTGGAAGTAATTGCATGCGATCATGTTCAGTGCAAGAGACAACAGATTCAGCGATTCCAGTGGAGTACTGGTATTGACAATGCAGTAGAGCTTACCTTGATAAGCGGCATTATCAATTGCGATGGGTGTCCACGCTCCCCAGATGAGGAAGCCTGGCCCCATAACATTGGGTTTTAACACATCAGCGTCATTGAAGTTGAAATCTCTCACGTCGGGGCCTCTCGATGAGAACAGAGCAACTTGCTGCGCCTGACCCGTGTAGACAGTGACTTGACCATCTCCAAGTTTAGCAGTTGCGCCAAATGAGAGGGCTTTGCCATTCTGACCCCGTTTTGTATTTGCTTCATAGTATCCCAGAAAAGTCTGCGGTCACATGTTCTTCTGGTTACACGGTGACACAAAAAGTACGAGAGGGACATATCTATTTTAATCATCTGATTCTTTCTGAACTGATTCATTTATGTTTCGCCATCTCAAAGTTGCAGATAAAACGACAGGTTGAAAATAGCAAGATAAACGTTCGAAAATCAGGCATCGAAAGAGGCCAGCGTGAAACAATTGAGGCAAAAGGAGTACCGCTGAATCCGCGAAACTGAGAAGGGCAATAGCTGGGATTCGAAGGGGCACAGGATCGAATTTACTGCCAGAACCGTCAGACTCCACAACCAACACCACACCCGCTGCTCCCACAGCCTCAACAGTCTTCACTAATTGTTGTAATGTACTGCCGCCAAAAATGTAGTTGAAGCCATATGTGCAGATGAGGAGTTTTCCTGTGACTAGCGCCTTTTGAAAAATAGAAGGCTCTTGACAATCGCTAGGTGCGAATCCCGGATTACCTTGACCTTCTGTTGCGTCTTTAGCTAAAATCAAGGGGTAGAGTACTTCTCCTTTTGTCGCAGCTGTAATTAAAACCATGTACCCATTCAGCATTCTGTTGATTAATTCTGACGCTGACATTGCAACTGCGATGGTTCATTGTTCTAAGTCCCACCGAGGATGGCCTTAAAATTTCATGCACTAACTAGATCGCAATATTAATAATGATTTTCAGTCCCTTCCTAGAAACAGAAATCCAACAAATTCATGAAGTAACTTACGAGCAAGTCCTGTTCCTTTCAGAACACTTTTATCTCCAAGAGTAATAACGTTAGGATACGTTCTGTCATCAACTCCGGCCGCCACCGACAGTACCCAGGGACTAAAGGATGTCACCGTCTTGGGATAAGGACCTCCATTCCCAGCTGCTTGAACAACGAGGACGTTCGCCTTGACAGCATTAAGTAGAGCTAAGTCTAGGATATTCAAGAAGGTACTTGTAGAGTTACCTGGTGGACTATTAGGTCCTAAAGACAGACTGAGTATATCTACTCCGTCGGCAACGGCCTGTAAAACATCCCGTAAGAGTCAAGTCTAAAATCATTAATAAAAAATCAAGTATTCATTTCATAAGTGGAAGCTGTACGGCAGTACACTAACCAAGGACTTTCATGGCGATTTAAAGTAAATAAATAGAATTTAAAAACGAACCTTGTCGCAGGCAGCAATAACATCTGGTATGAAACCCCCGATCAAACGATACAATGCCTTGTAAACTGCAATTCTGAATGGTAATGAAACCCACTCTTGTTTAATAATTAGAAAGAGAATCCAGCTTGCAAGCACTAAATTGTGGACACGGACATGCCGAGCATTCCCATCACAGACAGAAAATGGATGTGACTACCATGTATCATGCATAAAAAGTGCATGTCAAGGGACTAATTGAACAAAACTAGGGTGCCAAGCATAACTTTCAAGATGATAAAGCTGTTATTAGATACGATGATGTAAAGAATATGCGATCACCACGACGACACCGAATGGGACAGTCTTCTATAGAGACCAGTCTAGTTTTGTATATTGCAGCATTCTATTAGAGATGCCCTCTCTCTCTCTCTCTCTCTTGATCTGTGTGTGTGTGTGTGTTTGTGTGCGTGTGTGAGAGAAATTTCGCCATTTCAGCAAAACTCAAAGGGAGGATGGCTTTTAAAAGGAAAACGTTAATTTGAGTGATTTGGACCATTTTTCGCGCCATCATTGGGCAAGGGTCATGCTTATCTCTCTATGTTGCTCCAGCACTGATAGAATATTTTCGAGGCCGGGCTTAACTAGGTGCGACTTGAGAGTTGGACTTGTTTGGAAATTCAGTCCTACGTGGGTGGTTCAAATCACCTTAGCCTACAAATGACATGCGAAGGAACTCACCGTGCTCTTGGAGCCATGCCACTTGCTTTACCATATGTGACATTGTTAAGGATGACTGGCACTCCGTAGTTTCCAGCTGCAGTAGATGCTACATGGCTAGAATAGAGCAGGTCACGGACAAGTGTGAGAATCTGGCCAGAACGATTAGAAGGCTGACCTGAGCAGGAACTATTAATAGAGTCAAACATGACATTCTCAGAATGTTAGTCAAAGTATACTAGAGCATTTACATGCACAAGCTAAGAGATAAAAAGTGAGTAGGAACACATAAGCACCTTCCATGGCCGTCACCATCCAAGGGGGACGCAAAATGAAGCGAAGCGTTGAATGCACCATCTTGACTGGCAGCAGCTGAAAAATGCTGCGCTCCAATAAGTTTTCCATTGCAAGAACCAGCAGGAAATTCTTTGGCAACCTCGCATGTTCCTCGATATTTACTAAGAGGTACGTATGGCTTTTGGCCTACAGTTGAGAAACTTGGGTGCGTTGGGTCGATTCCTGTGTCCACTATTCCAATAACTATGTCTTCTCCTGCACCCAAAGCTCCCCCCATCTTTGACCATATTCCCGTGGGTAGTCCAAGATATTCGGGAGTATGGACCGTTGTCGTCTGCACTTTAAAGCTCTTCTGAACATGCACCACTGAAGGGTGCTTCGCTAAAACATCAGCCTACAACAGAGAGGTATTAATGTTTATAGTAAAATAAAATGAAATAAAATAAAACGTGAGCATAGAGCATGCGTATCCAGTACCAGGATACAAAGCAATATAATAATTTCGCTTAGGTCAACTTCATCCAACTATATATCATACCTCAATTTCCTGTGGTAGTCCTTAACTGAACGTATGTATCGTGTGAATTCTGAAATAACATATTGAATAAGCTTTTTCTCTATGAAAACATCAATATGGGTATATTCTCGCGAGAATCTCACAAGAATGGAACACGGTTGTGTTTAAACTGTAGTCTACCTGCTGGGATGTCAGTCGCACAGCAGCGCCATTGAGAATGTGAGTGAAGCTGTAGAGCTTGGTGCAGCTCTTCTCCTGAAATAGATCCTTCAGAAGTGCATCATGCTTTTGAATCAAGTGAGTTTTATACTTACTCACCAAATCCTTAACATGGGCTCTGAAGGAAAGAAAAGAGTTAAGCACATTAACGGTTATACATTTGCACACTATACTATGTAAATTAAAAAACTTAGAGCACACGCACTAATCAAGACTTTTTGAAACTCTATTGAAGAATTCACCTGCGATGATGTTTCTTCCAGCTGTTCGTGAAGTACTTGGCTGTGCCACGCAAACCAGGAATATCCCCTTTGTATATCACAATTGGCGGACCTTCCAGTAACACCATGTAGGTATCAATGTCTGCATGACTTTGCCCAGCAGCTTCATAACCAGGCATCGTTAGACCTAATGCTAAGATCATCGCCAAAACCCACCTCATCCTTCGCAGTGACATATCTATGTTACTGCACTTTGGTGAGCCCAATGCGCATGATTTGGATCCGGAGGACTTGCGAGTGTAAGCCATGCTACACATTCCTTTGAAGCCCCGATGAAAATGAAATTATAACATCAGAGTATCTAAACGCCAATCCAGCAGGCTTATTTGTTTCATACTGTTTGTCTGCAACAGATACGCTTCAACTCAGAGAAATTCACGTCATTCCTATGTAGATTTCGGCTCTGCACCAGCAGCTAAATCCTCGGCCAGTGCTGTTGCCAAACACCCTGCTGCATCTGTGGAACGTGCTCTTTGTCCGACCTTGTCATACATGCGTGCCCCTAAATCACTCCAAGTTGTCAATGCGCATTATCTGCAAATCAAGCGATTTCAATTTACTAGATAGGATTTAGCTTGACAGATCCATAACACAAGATAATGGAAATCAAATTAACTGGTGTTAACATGACCTTACTCCCAAAGGCTGCTTCATATAAGATAAGTGGTACCATGGAATCAGCTGTGTGATCGCTTGACATTGAGACATCGAACATTCATCCTACATTACCTCTCATTGCTTGCCGCATCCAAAGACTAGGTAAATAGTGACGAAAGGTCACACTAGTGTCCAAGTCTAGAATCTAAAAGGAGATTCTCAGTTCTAATGTGCACGGAGTCTATACAGGTCAAGAGTGACGTGATCTAACCCCAAATTTGAAAAGCAAGCGCTGAGATTCTCGTTTTATTCTTTTAATATGAGCCGGGGGCCTAGTGCCCAATCTCATTTGTATTCTTAGATTTAACTACAGTATGCTTCTTCATCTTCTTCTTCTCCCTTTTTTTTTTTTTTTTTTTTTTTTTTTTCTTACTGAAATCGAACTCAACTTTTCCCTAAGCTTTTGAAATCGATACTGATAATTTGAACATTTCAGTCTGTTAATCTGCAACCTAGAGTCCAGTTCTCCCAATTGATCGACGAGTGGCACCACATTCCGGTCATACTGAATACAAACCCTCTACCATAGCCGGCGTTCTCTCAGGCTAGCTTTCGAAACATGCCCTTCCACCATTCTACATGAAAAAGACTCACAACGCAAACACAAAACCGCTGCATTCGTCTCTAGACCAATGCCTGCGAACATTCCTGCGAAGCCTAAAAATGCCACCATGACCAGTTCGCAGCTCAAGCCACAACTAAAGCTTCAGGGTAGTGAGCCGTGAGGCATTCTCGTCAACTGTGAGCCCTCAGAAAGCGCACGGAGGGATGGTGCTGTCAACGAGTTCAGCTACCCCCCTCCCCTTTCCATCTCCTAGACCTGTCAACCCCTCATGTGTCGTCCTCCCCACTGAGACACTTGCTCACAACTCCTGCAGCTGCCGAAGGTGCAGCACTAATAATAGGAACAGTGGAAACCCATTGTTTCCAATCTCATTCCGACGCTTCCGAAGCCGCGAGAGTCTCAATTTGCCACCTATCTCCTAATAATAGTAACGCGCGCGCCGCACAGCCGCATGCCGCCCTGAAACACAAGCTGCAGCTGCACGTCCTTGCACTGATAGAAACTACTACCGGATTCGTAAATGCTCACGAGCCGCATGAACGTCATTCTCCACCTCCATTGAAAAACAGCTCAGAAAGAAAGCAAGCAAGCAAGAAAGAAAAATAAAATAAAAAACTCCATGCAGAAATTGAAGTGGCGGTGAACGACTAGGACCTGGACTGACGCAGATAAGAGAAAGCTTGCGCAAACCCACAAGCCCGATTACGTGGCTTTGTGGGTAAACCATTCTCGCAGCCTGCAACTGATGTGCTGCTCACTCACGCACTCACGCACTCACCTCGTCATGGCGCTTAACCTCCGCCCGCTTGGCTCACCGCCACCGCTTCTGCTACCTCCATGAAGAGCGTCGCCTCCATCCAGCACAATGCCATTCGGTGCTTGACCACTACACCAGCTTCTTCTTCTACTTCTTCTACTTCTTCACCTGCAGCTGAGAAGAGGCTGAACGGGATCATCAGCTCGCGGGCGCACATCACCGCCCTGCGGAAAGATACTCTCAGCTGCTGCTGCCTCGGAAGACCCCACCCATCCCTCCTCCTTCGTCACGACCCACACTCAGTCTCCTGGCCTTCGGGGTCCTGCTGCAAGCTGGCGTGCCAGCTTTCAAGCTTGTTACATTTGCCACACTGTAAATTTTGGATACAAGGAAGAAAATCATTTTCTTTGTTATCGATTCGGATGCCACCTAGATCATGTCGCCATCGATCGTTCTACACACACACTCTCTCTCTCTCTCTCTCGTAACTTTTGTTTTATTTGAAAACTTCACTGGAATGGACTTGTGTGGCTTTCTTTTTAGATGTTTGCTGTCATTCATTTTGGTCGGTTGCGGATTTTCAAAGCTTCGGTAATCAGGCAGTTTGAACAGGCGCCTAAGGTAAATGTAGTGATATATTTACCGGATGTTAAACTTCATTCTCTGCTTAAACGTGACATGATTATTCAAATAAGGTAAGGTTTAAGGAATAATTAGACGAAACGGTCAAACGAGATTTTCCTTTTCTGTTGAAGTTAGAGAACAAGTTGGTTTTCTTAGGAACTTGTTATTATCAAAGACCGAAATTTGTTTCTTTGCTTTTGTTCACATTGAAAATGTGTAGATCTATGAGGATTTAGCCTCCTCTTACCAAGTAGTTTCAATCCCAAACCAGTAAGTTGAAGTTTTTATACGAATAACATGTAACTGGCTACTGATACTTCTCGTTCATCGACACACAAACCCAACCAATTTCGATGATCTAATACTGAATCACGCACCGAAGATTGGCTAGAAATTGCTCCACATACACACAATCTAGGGCTAGCACTCAATAATGCAAGCTGAACTCCGACTCGCAGTTAGTTAGTTAGTTAGTTAGTTTTTTTTTTTTTTTTTTTTTTTTTTTTTCTTCCCCCGTGACAAATAAATTTTCAAAGTATTTTACCGATTCAACTCATACGGAATGAATGATTCTCTATGAGGGAGCAGGCCAGAGTTTACTCTCGGCTCTTGCTCCATGATTGCATCGTGCAGGGTCATGATTTACTCGCGCAAACGGGTTGGTGGCATTTCCGATCCGGAGCTCGGAGATTCTATGGAAGACTGGCACGCTGTGACTCGCGGTGCTAAGATTCGCTGCGCCAATAATCATTTTAGCCAGCGAGAGTTTTGAACACCGTAGGTAGCTGACCATGACCCTGAAATGCTCTCGAACCCCCTTCTTACCTGTTGTTCAGTGTGTGCTTTTCTGTATTGTTATTGGTTGGCTATGTCTCGGCCTCCAAACGCAGTATAGAGCTGACGAGAAACTCAACCCAAAACTAGATCTAAAAACAACAAATTCCTCTAAAAACTCGAGCATATAAAAACATTACTGTCTCGCACCTCAAGAGCAGGCAATCACACCAAGGGTTTTCTCATTTATTCCTTTCGGGCCCAAGTTGAAGAGGGTTAGGTACACATTCGTAGCATCAAATCAGGATTAGGATCACAGTGACATCCTCACGCTGATCACGTACCAGTTCTGTCTTTGCTTGAATTTTCCGCTAGGAGGGTGTCACGGTCGCGGCGTTGAACTAGTACGCACACAAGATCTCGCAGAACAAGGTTTCGGAGGACTCGAGCGGTGATGCTGAATTTGACAGCAGTGTCGAGTGCAATGGGGACTCTTGTGGGTCACATCGCGCCATCTGTGGTACATTGCTTGGTAAGGTTGTAACATTTGCTGTCTGTGTTCACAAACGATGTGAAATCGCCGCAGGGACACTTTGCCAAGGCAGGGCATACCGTGAACTGGCTGCCGAACTTGGGGAAGCAAAATTGAACTCTATTTTTTCATAACTTCCCAGTCTGGCTAGGTTTTTATGAGGAATTCGTTGCAATTCTGCATCTGCTTCAATTGTGAACTTGTATATTTAACGTAGACACGACCATCCATTGCAGCAACTTCTTAAGGTTTTCTGACAACAGTCAAGTCTTCGATTAAGTTCCAAGCGAGAGACCTCCACAAGAGATGACCTCAATTGATCGTGCACCCCGATGTCCATTTTTCTTGTAGTTTGTGATGAAGTTATGGTACTACAGATTTGTGTAGCTTCTGCTCGACTCCGAGCTTTGTATATGTACAAGGAAAAGTATGGTGTTTTCTCCACTTGTGGTGTGTCTCAATAATTCTAAGGAAGTATTGTCAACCAACTGCTTATATACAATACTATTGTTACTTGTTCTAGCACAACCACTTAGGATCCTTGTTTCTAAACTATCTGCTAGTATAGTTTAGAAGAAGCATCTTGATAATATACATAGATAGGAATAATATTAAAAGACTCCTTATGAATAGATTATGGTGACATAAGAAGTCTTTTGATCTTATGGATTCATGCAAATTTACAGTGACAAGTTAGAGAGTATTGTTGTGTATGTGTCTATTATTCTATCTTTATGCAGTGAAGCCACGAATCCCACGAACTTTATATCACCCGTAAACAAGTTGTTGAAGATCGACAGGATTAGAGTTGAGGATGTAACTCTACTAAAGTCAACTTTCAATTCGCTTCTGAACTTGTTGCCCCCGAATTGAAGCACTCGCAATTTTGTGAAATTTCCTATTTCTGGCGGTATATCTCCTGACAAAGAGTTACTAGCAAAGTTCAAGGTTAGACATTGCCCGACAGTCGGTGGTATTGATCCGGTGAGGTTGTTGGTTGACAGGACCAGGTATTGGAGAGTGGAGCAATTGCCAATCGACTCTGGAATAGTGCCATTGAGCTGTGTTTCGTAGATGACAATGGTCGTAAGCTTACGAAGGTTTCCGATGTCACGAGGAACAGGACCAGTGAGACGTGGGTTAGTATCCAATATCAAGCTTATCAAACGTCGGCAGTTCACGACAGAATCGGGGATTGTTCCTTCCAGATTGTTGGAACCAAGGTCAAGATATTGCAACGACGAGATGTTTCCAATCGACGGCGGCAAGGAACCCGTAAAATTGTTGTCGTTCATCTGTATGCGCCAAATGTTCGGCCACTTCGACATTTCTTCCAAGTCTGCGTTGCATCGTAGTTGACTCAGTGGTGGAAACCAAGTAAACTAACCTTGATGAATCTTAAGCTAGTCTTAATCATTATCTTAACTGCAGTTCATTCACTCGCTCTCGCAACAAATGGACCAAATAATACGTGATGCTTTGCAGAGTTGTCTCTTAAAAAAAACCTTGCTTTACAATACTATTGAGATTGTGCGTAAAGAAATACACAAAGATTGTAAAATTGTACCTGCAGTGATTTCACCAGTGAAGTTATTCTCTCCGACGTTAATCACCTGAAGATTCAGATTATTGTACAGCTCCATGGGAACCCTGCCAGTGAATTAGTTCGCACTGAGGTTGAAAATAGACAGGCTTGGACTAGCTGCAATCGAACGGGGAATCTCTCCCCCCAGCTTGTTTCTGGAGACCAGCAATTTCGACAACGCAGTCAAATTTCCAAGCTCGCCCGGAAGCCCTTCGGATAACTCGTTGTTCATGAGGTTCAGGGTCTCAAGCCGGGAGCAATTTGCCAGCTCCGGAGGGATCTGTCCTCGCAGCTTCCCAGACTCGAGATCGATGATTCTAACGAACTGCAGTCTACCAAGGCTCGGTGATATCACATCCCCTGCGAGATTCTTCACGGAGATCGAATCTACATGACCCGAATCGGTGCACTGAATGCCTTCCCATCTCGCAGGGGGTGTGATATCACCGAGCCTTGGTAGACTGCAGTTCCACCGCGAATATCCAAGCTTCAGTTGCAAAGCACACGAACACCTGAACTTGAATTGTTCATCAAAGTAACAATGACTGCGTCTCCACATCCACCTCTAAGTCACCATGCACGTGTACCGCCACCAAACCTTGGTGACCGAAAATCGTCATGGTTTTCTTAGCTCGGCACCGTCGAAATTGCTACCCAGTGTCGTAAACAGCAATGTGTCGCCCGTGAGCACGGCGGCACGGCTAGCACTTCACAGCACAGAACAAAAGCCTCACCACCAGTTCACGCAGCTGGGTCCAACACCAGACTGATCTAAGAGACTGAAGAAGTAACGGTATTGTGAGAGCGTTTTCTAGACTTGAGCTTCGCCAAAGACAAATCTCCCCAGCTGGAACTATTACTCTTCTTATCGCAAGATAAGTTCCACCGATCGAAGAGAGAGAGGTGAGGAGCAGGCTGACATGTAAATGCCAGCCCAGGTCGGCAAAACATTGTGGTACAGACATCGATGACTGTGTCGTTACAAAGAATACGACAGTCTTCTTATGGTGATTCTACGAGTCTTGTGCGAAGACATTGAGTGCTAAGGCTGGAGGATTGGCCAACGTGGAGCGCCACAGACCGTGTCTGACCTGACACACTTTGAAACTCGTGGGTCTTCGCCGCATCCATTCCAAGGCTTCTGACACTGGTTTATGTCAGCCATTTGTTTCTCAAACAGTACCCACGTCATCTATGTTCATATGATACCGATGGTGGTATGATATTGCTCTACTTGGTGTACTGATTCGTTATCATAATGACGTCTGATTGTGTCGAGAACAGGTCGTAATTACCATCGCTGTTGTTGATGAGCTCCAATTTCGAAAGGTTTATAATTTTTCACCAATTGGAGCAAAACAGTCAAGATTTTTAAGTGAAAGAAGAAGAAAAAGATGGTTGTATTGGGTGAAGCATTATAACGTAGAATGTGGAAAAGTTTTTGAGGTGCTGTGAAGGTTGAAAGTATTTGGGTGTTTTGTGTGAGCAAGTCGATTTCACGAAGCTGGTAATTGCAATGCAAAATTGGGAGGTCTGTATAAACAGCATTAATTAATGTGTGTTTGGTGTAAGATAAAGTGGCATGATATATATATATATATATATATATGTATTTCATTTCTTCATTTTTTTTAATTGTAGAATTAATGAATGAATAGATGTATAAATGAACAATCATGGGCACATACTTTTTGAATACAAAGTATCATCGAGCTTCTTGATCGGTATTTTTTGCAAATTCAAGAATGGTTTTTTGGATTTTGTTTGAAGAGTTGTAGAATGTGTCATGTGGTTAGATTCAATGTCATTTCAAGTACTAAAGGTCTCATAATGTTTTTTTTTAGTTGTTTTAATTTTCACCGTAATTTTTCTCTATGGCATTCAAAAAATAATCTCTTTTCATATTAATGGATTCTAAAGAATTATGTAAATAAATAAGTAACAAATCTTCATTATTTCAAAGTCTAATATTATATATGTAAAAGTTATAAATAGATATACATAAGATGTTAAATTCAAAAATCATATCAAATCACTCAATTTTTAATACAATGTAAAGGATTTTTAATGGTAATTAAGAAATATATATACTTACATATATATATATATATATATATATATATATAACTAAATTATGTTTTTTTGGATTTTACCAATCTCAAGTACATTATTTTAGGTATAACATATATAACATATATAACAAAAATAATGATAGTTTAAAAGAATATTATGATGGATAAAATAACCACATAAAACAATCCTTGAATTTAAATATTAAAAATGAAATTATTAATATTAAACATGTACATATATATAGTAAAAAATATTTTAAATGAATTATTTTAAATTTATAATACTTAAAACCAAGTAAAAATTTAAATAAATAGACTAAAAAACTTTGAACAAATAAATAGAATAATTTTTTATTATTTTTGTCTTTGTATTTTATTTTAAAAAATAAGATTCTCTTTCAAAAATTAAAATTTGATATACAATCTTAATAGTAGTCATAGTTTACATAATTCTTTGTGTGTGTATATATATATATATATATATATATATATATATTTTAACGTCAATATTTTTAGATTTGAAGATGTAAATTCGTTTTGGGTATTTAAGTTTGATTTTTATTTTGAGATAAAAGATATTTAGTTATTATGGAAAATTAATCAAATTCAAACAAAATTCTAAGTAATAACACCATGTATTTGAATAATAATTGAAAGTTTAAGGAGATATCATCTTTCTACGATCTATCTGCAAAAGACTTCAAATTTCTATTTTTATAATTCAAGATAATTTTAAATTCTAAATATTATGTTAATAATTATATATACATATATAGACTGGATAATTATATTAAATGTTAATAATTATATATACATATATAGACTAAATCTTGCCCCAAAATGAACATACTATATTTTTCCTTGACACAGACCTAAAAATTAATCAGCCTCTGTGAGACTGGATTCATGAAGATTGGATTTTTTTAAAATTTTTTTTTAAAAATGTTATTGTATTATTTGCAACTATTAACATCTATAAATACACATGTTCTGTACGTTTTCTTTTTAAGTTCTTGAAACTTCATAACTAGACAAATTGTGAAGGATTGTTTTTTTATAATAACTAATTAAAAGATGAAATGTAATGAGTTGGAATAATGGTGTAGTTTTGATGTCAAGGATCCCATTCAAGAGCCAATATTGTAATCTGATAATTTATTACCACAAACACAATAGTCTTATTACAAACACATGTTTAAACCACTCATCAACCATTAATGAAAGACTCCCACAAATGAATTGTGATAAAAAAAAGTAGCATGCATTGAATCTTTTACAATAAATTCTCATCTTTCTTTTCCTTTCTTCTTTTAATTTTTAATTTTTTCCCATGTCTTGATTTTTTTAATTCTTCAACCTTGACTAAGCCCATGAAGTCCATGCAATTTCCCATGGGAACATTGGAAATTGCCCCACTGCAAAAATTATGGGTGGTGCCCCCACTCTCAACACATGGAAAATTGCTTGATACCTAAAACCCACTAAAACACACACACAAGTTGGAAAAAAAATTAGATTAATTTTTAAAATATGGGAGATTAGGATTAGTATTAAGCTAATCCAAAACTCACTTTTGGATATATATATATATATATATATATATATATAAGTGTGTGTGTGTGTGTGTTTGTTTTGTGTAAGGGTTGAGGTAAGAGAAATTACTGAAAATCTTTTTGACCATAAAAATTTAAAAAAATATAAAAAATAACAATAATATGCTGAGTTTATTTTTGGAATAATGGTTTATAAGGACTGAACACAACTACTAAGCTATAGGTCTGAATAACTCACAAGTATAATTAAAAGACAAAAGGAGGATGAGGAAATGACATGAACACACAGATTGTAAATACTTACACAACATCGTTTTGTCCACTGTTGAAAATTAGCATTTATGGGTTTGATGACAGTAACAATAGTAATAATAATAATAACAACAATAAATGTGTCTGCGTTAGCAAACTCTTCACTTTACTTGTACTTTTTAACATTTGCTTTCATGCACCACATTTGGTTTTTTTCTATTATGAAATGTTTGCAGGACATGGGTCATGGATTTCAAAGCTTCCATTGTAGACTTTTATAAACTACCATTAGTCCTCTTGAAGCATCAATCTTAAAGTAATCGTTCATTGTCTCATGTTCCTAAGCTATTGAGCACTGGTTCCTTTGTACCATTGGAACATCACATGTAGTCATGTCAAACTTTGATTTGACATTGATTTTAGTTTTATTTTTATTTTACAGATTCCTAGAAAAACATTGGCAGCAATCTTTAGTGTATTTTAGGAATGTTTTGTTACAACTTTTTATTTTTATTTTTCATTTCTATTTGAATCTACAAGCCATCTTATATGAGCCACATACTCAAGGTAACTTCCACTAAAATCTTTCTGCAGCAGTCCAAGAGTTCAATTTTTAGTATATTGTATGAGTGAAAGGTAGCATAAACTGCTGCAAAAATGAGAATATCCCCAGTATTCTAAGAACTTACTTGGAATGACATTAGATATTAGTTTAGTTCTTCATGATAGTTCTTCTTTTTTTTTTTTTTTTTTTTTTTTTTTTAACTAGAATTGAACAAAGTTAATTTGGGCACTGCATTTTTTTATGTGCAAACACATGTTTTTTCTTTATCTTTTTCTTTTTTTAAAAGCACAAATTTGTGTTCTTGATAATCTATCAATATAACACACATCTATTTTGTAACTTAGTTTTCAATTTTGACATTTTTTACTTTAATCTAATTGATGGAAAGAAATATGTTTTTTTATCTTAAAAGTAATATTATATATATATATATATATATATATATATATATACATACATACATACATACATAATCTTATCATGTTTGTAGTCAATGAAATATTTTTATTTTTTTATTTATTGATTATTTTAAAATAAAATTTTAATAATTAAAAAGATAAAAATAATTATATTCTATTGAATTTTCTCATGCAATACACTGTTTTCAAATTGAAAAATATGTGTATGATATTCTCACACAGGATAAACAGTATTCAAAATAGAATATTTCAAATGTATTAATGTCTACTGTGTTAACTTTTTTATTTTTGACAAAATGAAAAATAAGAAAAATAAGAAAAAAACGCAACAGAGCAAAAGTTGCAAACATTTGGTGCCACATACTTTTTTTTAAATCAACATAATTTAATAGTTTTTCTTAAGTCAACTGAATGCTTATTTTACCAACTACTAACTGGTTTCTAAAACGCATCATGTTTAATTGGTTTTTTCGTGATTATGTGCTTGATATTTTAAACTAAAAAAATTATAAATTACAAACCATACAGTATGTTTAGAAGGCTTTAAATTTTAACACAATGTACAGATTGAGATTTAATCTATTATTTGTATACCATGAATATATCTCATAAAATAATAGTTACAATATGACTCAGAAAAACACTATTTTTTTTTATGAACTATAGATTTTATAAAAAAAATGTTATAAAAAAAATTATGTACATTTATTTTAATGAATATGATTTGCGAGATAATAGGTATGTATGTATGTATACGTATACAAATTTCAAATAAATATTTTGAAAAAAGAAAGAAAGTATAGCTGTAAGAAGAACTATATCTTCAACTTAAATAATGTTATTTTTAAGAATTGTTTTCACATTTTTAACATCATTAGGAATTTATGAAGTGGTTTTGATACAATCATAGTAGAAAGGTGGTCTTAAAGTGTAATACAAAAGTTATTAACGACACAATCAATAAAAGTTTGAATTTCATTTTTTAAAGTTCATTTTAAAGATTGAAGTACTATACAAACTACAAATTGGTTACCACCTCGTGATCTCTACTACTATGATGGTGTTCAATAATGTTGATTATAAAATTAAGTTGTAATATTGACATGTTAGAAACAAAGGCTTGATACAACAAAACAATGAACACAAGATTATAAATTTATACAAGCCATCTAAAAGAAAAGTAATCTCAAACAATTACACATCAATCTGGTTTCTTCAATTGAAATGTCCTACAATTATTCAAGAAATTGTTTAGAAGAAAACCCAACATTCAGTTTGGCAAGGCACTCTTTAACCTCTTTACTCATCCATCCATAATCCAATGGCCGCACATCCATCCATCATTCAACCACGATTCAGACTTGGATGGTACCGACAGACACAGGGCGGCAGTTCTGCCCACCGACAAAGGCAGTGACAGACAAACTGGGGTCTTGTTCTGATGAGTGCTCTACCATTTCATGAACGGGATACAAAATTGTGTCGGTAGAGAAACAGCTTCAGGATAACATCGACATCTTCATCTGATGGTGTACAGTCAATATAAATACCACTAGATGAAGGTGGAAATACTTTGAAAGGAATTCGAAACTGATCCTCGATTTATCCTTATATGAAAGATATCACGATGATTAACTTGATTTGAAAAACACGAAGCACCCACTTGAGGATATAACTTGAAGCAACATCATACACAACCATACACACTATTGCAGAGCTTAGGTTTTTCATGCAACGGCTATATCGGTTTTTTTGTGCATTATAGCAGCAAATCCAAAAAAAGTTCGTTACAGCACCATTTCCAGAGAACCCTCAAAGGGGGAAAGGTGTGTTTACTGAATGATTTCTTTCTGCTACTTCACTTGGTAGAATCGCGGCCGATTCAGCAACTGTAGCATTTCCTACCTGCGCTGTGCAATAATCTCTGGTCTCCATCTAACACACGCTTCGAATGGTTCACTGAATTGAACTGAGGGATACAAGCAGGTCGTGATTCACCAGCATCTAACAGTGGCCTCCTTCAACTGAGACACCAGCTGTGAGCTTTCGGCCCATTGCCGACCGTGCTGTAGTTGCACATATGAAATGAAGACTATACCCCGCGAGGGCATCAAACATCTGATCGAAAAGCTTGTCAAGAGACTCCTTCAATCTGCTCTGCAAACGAGAGAAAATAAAGGCAGGAAATTACGAGTCATTGTGACGTAACTCCAGATATCCAAGGAACAACCAGGGGGGCTTTTGGATGACGCCGCCTATACTCTTCGTCGTAGTGCCCTTTAAAATTCAACGCCGGGTCATCGGCCTGCCATGCAAACCACCCCAAGAGCATCAATAATGCAATCTGACTAATGTAGGAACTCCCGCTAACCTCAAGACTACGAAGAACAGACGGTGCTACAAACACGGCACATCTTTAGCTATCCATTGCCATCCGCCAGTTAGTAGACAAAAAACCTGCGAGATCACATGATGAAGTAAGGATTGACCTGCTTCAGCCAGCACTCGTGATTCTCGTGGGTGTAAACGTCAGGAGAGTAGCATCCGTCTTCCTTGGGACAATACACCCAGATGTTGCATTTCTTCTGTCCCGCTGTAGCATTTTTGGCCTGGTCTAAGCAGGCCTGGCAGCAATCAGCAGCACTGTTTACATGATGTGTGAGTCCCCACCGAACCGCTACTCCACCGTAATCCGTGTGTGCCTCGGCGTAACACTCCGGCGGCATTGGTCTTCCAGGTATGGAGTCGTCCTCTGAAAACCCGACACCAAGATTGTCACCTTGTGATATCTTACAATTAAAGCATTTCAACGATTCAACGACGGGTCTTCACAAGCAGGGTCCACGTTGTACAGATTAATGACCTTCTATCTCTATGATAACTTCTATACTACCTCTATGTAACCATGAACTTGCAACTTACAAGCAATTAACTAACATTATTTCTGGCGCAGTAACGGGCCAAATTCGGTCAAGGAGTCACAAAATTTAGCAAGATAAAAAACAACAATAATAATAATAACAATAATAACAAGCCGCGAATAAACTTAAATTACCATGCTCAATGAAATTCAATGACTCTCCGTTCACAAGATCTAAATCCGCTGTTGCTCCATCTCCAGGTAACTGAACACCAAGTTCAGCAGCCACCTTGTCAGCGTCTGCAAATTCAAAAGACAACGTTAAGTCGTATTGGCAAATTCAAGAATCGCTGAATATGATGCGTGAAGAACTGAATTGGTCTGAGCCTGTGTGCTACGAGTTCGTTGAATACGCGCTCATCCCAGGCAGATTTGTTGGATATGATTCATACCACCAGCTGACGCAATAACACTAATATTTTTCTTCTTTAACTTATTCCTCTTCCATTCCTCAAGAGCTACAAAAAACAATAAATTAAAGCACAGGAAATTTATATGCATAAAGATAGCCTGAAGAACTACATAAAGAGACAGGATTTTTGACACAATTTGTTGTTCAGAATAACAGAAATGTGATGAATGATGATGATGTCATTGATAATCGAGTCCCGGGACGGCAGCGAAGAAGTATAACTTAAACTGGTATGAGGAAAGACCTGCTTGGGTAGCCTGGCTGTTGCTGTTCTTGAGCTCACGCAAACGTTCCGCAAGCTCCAAAGCAACCTTTTGCCTGGCTATATTCAAGGCCGCAGTTCTATTCACTTCCTCCTCAATCTCTAATTGAATCTCCCGCACCTTCAAGAACAATCCCAGAAACCGTTCACTGTGAGAGCCTGAAGAACCGGGCTTAGGGTTAGGTCATACTCAGCCTCCCGCAAAGGCTATTATTCCGAACCAGTATTTGATTCTGCAAAACCCTGTAAGTCCTAAAATCGATGATGACAATCAAAAATTATCCCCCTGATGGAAAGTCCAGGAATCGCACAAACCAGAGCTTACTGTTCATTGCTGTGACAAAGACTAAAATTCTCATGACTTTCCTCCAGAAACCAAAGCTGGACGTGATCGCAACAAATGTGAGTTGAATTCGGATCATTCGCAATAGATAGGTGTCTGAGGGAGGCAACCCTTGAACCTACCCGTTCAATTAACGGAGTGGGAAGCAGCTCTTGTCGCAGCCGGTTGGAATCTTCGATGCGTTCCAATTCTTCCTTTGAAAGGGTCACTCCCACACCTGCCATTATCCCAGAGGAAAACCATTCAGCGAGAAGAATTCGCGGCTCTTTCAAGTCACAGAACACTACCAACAACCATGCGCTCACGCGCAAGAGAGAGAGAGAGAGAGAGAGAGAGAGAGAGAGGATGAAGGTTTCACGATCATAACCCGCCGAAGATTTTGAGAACAAGCCAAAAGGCACGCTCCTAAGCGGATCCCTTATCGCGCAGACATTCAAGATTAATAAAATCTGTGTGCCAAATGGGCAAGAACGAGCGCGCACCATGGGCAGAGACGCCGTTGCCACGAGGCAACTGCGATGTCGAGGTTGAAACAAAGAAGACGGGCGCCAGAGCAGCATGCAACATAACGAGCGCCACCAACAGGTTCCCTGTGCACAGAATGAACGTAGCCCTCTTGTAGGACCATCGCAACCTCCCCGCCCAATCCGTCGACGAATGCACCATCTCTACGTACCGTTTCCTCACAAAAGTCCCGAATCCTACCTTCTTCTCCCGCTCATCCTCTATTCCTCTCGACATTCTCCCCTGTCCCCATGCTCCCTCCCCGAAATCACCCTCCTTTCATCCGCAAAACCAGATCTTGACCACCTGCCCTCCCTCTTCACCCAACCATCCCTCTCTCTTCACCCAACCATCCCTCTCTCTTCACCCAACCATCCCTCTCTCCCCTCCTCGACGCTCTCACCCCAAAGCTAAAATGCAACCATGAGCGCAGTCGCCCTCTACGAACACACGACACAATGTCAGTCACTGCCTCACAATCCCCAAGACGCTACCATGAGTTAGTCGACACCTGAGAGACGCGAATTGCGCGCCGGAATGACAGGAAATCTTCCCCAACACTCTCTCACCTGTGACAACCTTGTTAAAGGTGGACATGCTACATCAACATTCGTAGCCTCGCGCCTACCATCTCCAAGACTCTTGCTAACGAATGAATGATCTCGCAGGCGCTCATGTTCCGCCTCGCCTTCAATCTTCTAGAAATATCCACACACTCCAAACTTAGATGTTTTCACATCTTGATGCAACAAACCCAATCCCAGGGAGCACATCGATCCCAATCCAAGGGCTCAACAATTGGTCGCTGATTGTTGAGCCGCTGTAGCACACAGCAAGCCAGGTGGGCATCACAAGAAAAACAACGAGCAAGAAATATTTCCCTGTTGAAAAAGTGCACATGTTCTTTTTTACAGCAAGGAATATTCCCCTGTTGAAGTGCACACGTAAAAGTGCATGCGTCCTTTTTTACAGCAGCTCGTAGTAAACATCCAGCACTTCATTCAGGTTGAAACCTGCATACATTCGTAATAAACGTCACCGTCAAGTTTATCCTCAACTTGATTGGAAGCACACGCCAGATCAAAAGGTTGGGATTTGTCATGGCCAACCAGATCATCGTTAAACCATCACCACCCAGCGACAAACATGTTTTGGTTCGTGGGGAATGCACTGAATTTCATTTTGGTTGTTGACGCGATGACATTAAAAACAAACACACACACACACACACACACGACAACGAGTAAATTCTCTTTCTCTCTTCTGCATTCATTCTTAACTCTGTCCATGTATGTAGATTTATTAGGAGCCGATGTGCAAGATGTGAGAGCAGGTGCCCATTCTCTGCCAACATGTGCGAGATGTGAGAGCAGCCGCCCAATTGTTTCCCAATCGAGGTAGACAACTGGGCAACGAACGCCAGTTGGTAACAAAAAAAAGGCAAGGCAGGCATCGGAATGGAGTGGGGCATATGCAAAGCTGCCGCCCGAGGCACCACTGACGAAATGCCTCGTCGCGACCATTAAAAGGAGCGACAGCGCAGCGTTGCTGTATCTCTAGATGTCTGTTTGTTTCGTCGATTGTGGCGGCGTTCTGAGGAGCCGGTGGGTCTGTACCCAGATATTCATTCGGTGTCAAGGACGAGCTGCACAGCTCCGTGATCTGCCAGAAGGCGTGAGAATTCTATGCAATGGGGACATCGAAGGGCGTTGTGCACAATTCGGCGAGAGGGCTTTGAGCTGCGTCATTTTTCTTCTCAATCCGTGTCCTGGTGACCTTGACGCTGGAGTGTTTTGCTTGCTTGGTTGAAGCGCTGACTGCCGCTGTCGCTTGCCTTTCTGATGCCGCTGGCGCGCACGCGCAGGAGCTTTGTGACGCACCCCAGAATTGCCTTGTTTCTCATTCAATCCTTTTGTGCGGAGCCCTGGTTTTTGTAATCCTCATTGTTTCTTCTTCATACAAATAATGTTCATAACTTTATATATGTGTTTCTTCGAGCACTTGACTTTAGATTCGTTATTACTTGTAAGAAAAACTTCACTGAATCTTATCAAAATGACATATTCTTAGATATATAATGTATACTTGTTAATGCAACAAATGCACTGGTTAATTTAGGACATGTCTTCATTGAGATTTAGATGGGTTCCTTGTAGTTTTTCACTGAATCTTATCAAAATGACATATTCTTAGATATATAATGTATACTTGTTAATGCAACAAATGCACTGGTTAATTTAGGACATGTCTTCATTGAGATTTAGATGGGTTCCTTGTAGTTTTCTAATTTATAACTTTACTGAGACTTTACTGGTCACGTTTATTGAACTTCATGTCAAATTTTATGCTCTCATTTGGTATACGATCACATATGCATGATGTAGATTGTAAAGCAAACTATCATATTTTGATTAGGTTACATATAATGAAATGTGCATACTTGTGCGTGTGTCTGAGGATTGTGTAATTGTTTAAAGTTGAACTGCATCGTCTGATCACATTTTCTTTGTAACTATGAGCACACGTGATAAAATTAATTGTTGAAGCGACTGCCAAGTGGTTGAGGTACTAAAAATGTGATCAGACTACTTTAGAACCATCATTTTAAGTATTAACGATGACATTTCACAGTAAAAATCAATGTCTTGACAAAAACGATTTGAGAATTTTCAATCATTGACATATTCTTTTAAACCTTTTACTGAAATCTATAACAATAATAATAAGAGGAAAACCCCCAGTAACAAACCAAAATTTCAGTGGCAACTTCATCCCATTCAGGAAGGCAGTGCTTCCCACTCCCAACTCCTGGCCCACAACCGGACCTTAGATTCACCATGTGCTTTTCAAGCTCTCAAGTAGAAAAGCCCTACAATTAAGGTGCTTAAGAGTCGACGAAGAACGTCCAAAGGGGCTGTTCCGAATCTGGGCAATCCTCAACTGCTCAATGTTAGCTGCCATAGTGCAAAGGGAATGAATGCGGAGATGCCGCCCCAGGATAACGCGTAATCCAGCCATGTCAACGCCGCGGCGTGGTGGTTATAGCGGGTTTCACTCCATGGCGTGACCCAATTTCGTAAGATTCTCAATCTCTGACACGCAATCCTCACTCGCATCTCGGGTTGTCCTTTCTCTCGTTCTCTTTCGCCTCTTTTTCCTCCTTTTCATGTACTTGTTCATTCATTTCTTTTCCTGTGCGCCTTGATATCTCGTAGCGATGACAGAAATCGGTACCCCAGGTGGGTGAGTTGGGTGGGTGCTACGATCAAGGCTGAGATATGCCTTCTTCTTCATCCGCCTTTCATGGATTGGCTGCTCTTCCTCCGATCACAAACAAATTGGTAGCAGTCATCGCCGATCGACTGACACAACGCGTTTTCGTGGACTGTCGGTGATTGGCGCTGGCATTCATGGAAAGGGACGATTTCCTTCTGCGAGCATTGGAACTTCTGTGAGCCTTTGCAGGAGTTGTGGGATTAATTAGTTGGTGGTTAGGGGATTTAAGGTTTTGTAGATTAATTACTCCAGAAGTAGAACAGAATAAACCCTAATTTTTGTCTCCATTAAAAAATCAGTAGGTCTGTTTAGGGATTTAGAGAAAGAAAAAGAAAGTGTGTGTTGGTGATGACCTCTCAAAATGAGATCTTCTCATATGACTTGAATTGGGTCTTTTATTTTATTTTATTCATCCCAAATTTAGCCATAATCTTTAGTGGTTGAATTCTATTTGGATTGGCGACTGATATTATTTTCACTACTTTTTTTTAGTATTTTCCATACATATGTGCATTTTTCATCCAAACACAGCAAATTTCTTGTAATGGTAGGATCATATGTAACAAAATGCATTAAAAAAAAAAAATTACAGTAATGGCATAATCTATTTGCAAAAATATTTACAATAAGGCTGGTAGTTTATTGCTTACAAATAAAGGCTAGAAGGATTGAGACATATATGTAAAATAATACAATAATAAATAATAAATATAAAGTAAAAGATATTAAAGTATATACAAAAATCTTAATTCAAAGTTTTTTAATTTCACATTTTTCTTTGCTTTATGGCCTTCTCATCAATACTATGCTATTTTTAAATATAATATTTTCAAATAGTTTGATAGAAATAATGACAAACATTTTGGAGAATAATTTATTATTTTTATAGGCCTTTTTTGTGTATAAAATTTATTTTTATGGATTAGTAGTATCACCAAAGAGAGAATTTATATATATATATATATATATATATATATATATAAACCACATTTAGATCCTTCCTATCTAAATATGGTTTTTAATTGCAACATGGTGCTCCACTAAGGCATTCATTTTTGGCTAATGTTTTAGGTTTAAAGTTGATATCAACTACATTTTTGATCCATCTATCTTAACAAACCAACAATTATTACATGACAAACATATTTACTTTATTTTTTAATCTTATTAGAAAAAAAAAAAAAGAAAAGAAATCAATTGTATCAAAAAGCACTTTGAAGATAATTGAATTGGTTGACAAAAATAAGATTTATATGTCATGGCACAAATAAATCTATATTTTGAATGACATTTAAATCTAGTTTATATTTAGCAACTCATGTGGCTTCAAAATAATTTTTGATATATATATATATATATATATATGTATATATATTTTATTTGTTTGTTAAAATGATAAAAATAAAAATTAAAAATGTATAATGGAATCATTTAATAATCTTTGCTTTGTTCATATAGATGGATTGATATGTCATATTAATCAATTAAATACACTAATCAACACTATATCATAAGAAAAGACTATTAAAAAAATTATCATATGTTTAATATGACATATTTGGTCATAGTATAGAAATAGAAGGGATTCAAATCTCATTGCCAAATTTAATTAGACATCCAATTGATTCTAGATTGTAGAAAACAATACTATTTTAAAGTCAATTTTGTTGTATGAATTATGAAATATTTAATAACAACCAATATTGTACTATTACATGCTAGCTTTCAACTCAATATATTAATCAAAGTTATTTTGAGCAAAGTTTGACTATAAATATGTGTCGTGACAAAAGTTTACAATATACAAAGATTTCATAATATTAATGAAAACCTTCTAAATTCTCTATCAAGGACATGAATCTCAAAGAAAGAAATCTTCAATATACTCTTGTGTCACTTGAAAAGACTAAAAAACCACTCAAAGATGGTAATATATTAAACTAGATTGAATATTGTCAAAGAAAAGAAGACTAAAAAGTCTTGAAACAAGACTAAGGATTAGAAAGGCATTCTCAAGAGTGGAGAAGGCTTCACTCTTGCCTCCATATATACTATCTAATTATGTTCTATGTGGTGGAGTTCTATAGGATCTCTAACACATATGACTTTACTAGACACATGTCTTAATTTGTAAGGCAATTTTTTTATATATGTGCCACATAGTTAATTTGTTCTACAAGCTACCAACATGTGTGGCACAAGATTGACTTGTTAACCAAGTTTTTAACCTACCAATCAACTACAAACAAACGTAAAGTCAAAACAATGTCTATGAAGCTTCCATGAATCTTTTTTAAAAGATATTAGGAAATTAATCTACATTTATCAACTTCTATCTAATCATATAGGTAATTATTGGAAAAAATACATATATTTGTGATATTACCTCTATTTTTAGAAATAAGTTCTATAAAGAGCAATTATCATCTTTCATAGATCTGATTTTCTTCATATTGGTTTTGATGGATGTAATTGAAAAAAAGCATCAATCTTCTTTGTTGCATTTGCAAGATTTTTTGCTAGCTTCCATGTACAATCACTAATATCATATCTATATCAATAAACAAGCTATTCCAATTTGTTGTCAAATATATATATATATATATATATATATATATATATATATATATATTTTATTAAGTAAAAGTAGGTAAATATAGATTAATTTTATAATAACTTTTAAAGAAGATTTTTGGAAGCTTCATAGATGCAGTTTTGACTTTAAATATTTTATAGTTGATTGATAGGTTAGAAACTTAGTTTACAAGTTAACCATATGCCACACATGTTGATAGCTTCTAGTACAAGCTAACTATATGGCATACATATAAAAAACTTGCCTTGTAAGTTAAAACATGTATCTAATAAAGTCAATATGTATTGGATGTCTTATAGAATATCATCACATAGCTTCTAATTAGTTAGTATATATGGAGGCAAGAATAAAGCCTTCTTCATTCTTGTCAATGTCTTTTTAGTCCTTAGTCTTCTCTCAAGACTTTTTAGTCTTCTTATCTTTGACAACAACCATTCTAGTTCAATATATTATCATCTTTCAATGATTTTTTTAGTCCTTTTAAATGATATAAGAATGTACAGAGATTTTTTTTTAAAGATTTATATCTAAGATAGTTTGATAAGAGTGTTAATTTATTATTCTTGTCTTATTTTAAAAATGAGTGGATTATCCTACTTTTATTTTTGTATTTTAAAGGTTACGGACTATCCACCTTTAAATAAATAATTTAGTTTTCTAACATTAATTTTTTTCTTAAAGAGAGTGAATTATCTCTTGTTATAGAAATTTTTATTTTATATTAAAGATTGTCGATTATCATTCTCTAATTTAACTTTTTGAATTTGTTTGAATTATCTATAGAAGGAAAGATCATGCATGCTAATCTTAGTGGAAGTGAGAATAGATTTCCAACTATTGAAGATTTTCATGAGCTTGTTAACACTCTAAGAGTAAAAATCTCTCATATTTTTAATATGAATATTAGAGGCTTTATTTTTATGCCTATTAAAGAAGTCAACAATAAAGTTCAAAGTATGCACCAAGAAGTTGTACAATTAAGATAAGTAAACAAATGAATTTCATAATTAAATTTGAAGAGACTTGCTTTTAAAAGTATTAGAAATACAAAGCTAAATATGCCAAAGAAGTTTGATAGAACAAGGTTAAAATTTTGAAGGTTTCTATAACAAGTAAAGCTCTATCTAAAGTTGCATCCTTCTCAATACTATAATAGATTTACTCAAGTTGGATTCATTGAGATACTTTTTGTTGAGAGTATTCTTTTTTGATTTGTTCTTTTGATGGAAAAAGATTCACAACTATTTTATGATTTGAATTTATTCTTAGAAGTGTTTATATCTACATTTGAAGAAAGTGATCAAGAAAGGATAGCAAAGATTAAGTTCATATTAGTACAACAAAGATCATATTCAACTACCTCATATGCTATTGAATTCCAAAATCTTGCTTGTGATGTGGATTGAAATGACAAAGTCCTTATCAATCAATTTTGATATAAATTAAAAGACAATATCAAGAACAAATTTATTGAAGAAATTTATTATCTAAACTATTGCATATGACAATTAATTCTTTAAAAGATGCTAAAAACAAAGATTTGGTTGGAGAAGTATAAATCAAGCCATAGGTAACACCTTCTAAGATTTTGAAAGCTTATTTGTCTAAGCCAAAGCTTGTGTAAATTGACACAATATATTTTAAATCTCTTATTAAGTAAGAAAAGTTTTCTTGTCATTAAAAAGATTTATTTCTATATTAAGGAGAATCCAAATATATTGCTCAATATTTCTCAAAAAAATAATGTAATCACAAAATGAGAATCATGACTGCCAAAAAAGATAAGGTCTCAAAAAACAAGTATCTCTAGCTACAGTAGGGATTGTGCAGTTGAAATCTTGCATAAAACCTACTAAAAGTTCTATTTTCTTCTCAGGTCCTTCACCTTATTTTACAATAGAAGTTTCTTTAGGATCAAAAAAACATAAAGACTTAGTTTTTTTAGATTTAGGAGCCTCAACCTATTTAATAAAAGAAGATTTTGTCAAAAAATAAGATATATTCTTAATTAAAAAAATCAAATTTGTACATCTAGAAATAATAGATGGTTGTTTATTATCTTCTAGAGATATTACAAATGAAACTATTTTTTTAGATATAATAATTAGTGATTATAATAATTTAATAATATTTAATGTGATAAGATCTCTATTTAATTCAATTATTTTAGGATTATTGTAGCTAAAAAAGTATAATCTTCAAATAGGCTAGATTTCTTATAACCTTGATTTTCCTTGTAGTTTAGTCCAAAATTCTGCTAGACAAGTAGAAATCAATAACATCAATACATCCAAATCATTATTAGTAGGTGTAAAAACTTTCATGCATGTTGTAAAAAAAGAGTCAACTTTTTTTATATACGCCATACCTATTGTTGATGAAAAAAAGATTTTAAGTGACATTCTAAGTCAATATCAACATTAATAAGACATTTTAGAAAAAAAGAACACAGATATTCTTTCAAAGCATTGTCCCTATGATTATTTGTCATAGACATACTCATGTAAATCAATAATTATATATAGAAATGGATAGAAGTAAGTAAAAGTAGATAAAAGTAAGTTAATTCTATAGTATTTGATATAAAAGCTTCTTAGAAGCTTCATAGATGCTGCTTTGACTTTATAGGTGTCTTTAATTAACTTTTTGGATTAGAAACGTGGTCAACAAGTTGGCCATGTACCACGCATGTTGTTAGCTTGAAGACCAAGCTAACAATGAAGCCGACACATAGAAAAACTTACCTTGTAAGTCAAGGCATGTGTCCTACAAAGTCAACACTTATTGGAGGTCCTATAGAACGTCGCCATGTAGCCTCTAGTTAGATAATAAACATAGAGACAAGAGTGAAGCCTTCT